CTGATTCTCCAGAAAAGGATGCACAAGCAGCTGCAGGAGCAGACGTTTTTGAAGATGCGAATTTGAGTCCTTCTACTGAAACTACGCAATTACTCCCCTTTATCCAACTTGAACTTGCAAATGTACCACAAAGTGCATACCTGATGGATGCAGATTCAAGTGTTGATTCGTCAGGCGCATCCGAGGAAAGAAAGGAAGAAGTGAACCGGGATGTGACTCTTGGAGAGCATCTGCGCCATCTGAACCAGCCAAGTATGATCACTGAAGAGGACGAAGACTCATTGGGCTCGACGGATCTGTTTGATGCTCCGAAGAGTGGTTTGGCTAAGTCCAAGCCCTTGCTCGCCGCCGCAATTAAAGCTCGTGAGCAAGCTGACCAGCTGGAACGAGAGCAACAAACTAAACCGGGCAAATTAGTCAACGAGTCCCAGTCCAAGGAACCAAGCAGGAAGTGGAGCATTGAAGAAACAGTTTACGGATTTCATCTTCGCGACCTGAACCAACCTGTAGTGATCACTGAAGAGGACGAAGACTCATTGGGCTCGACGGATCTGTTTGATGCTCCGAAAAGTGTTTTGGCTAAGTCCAAGCCCCTACTCGCGGCCGCAATCAAAGCTCGTGAGCAAGCTGACCAGCTGGAATTGGAGGAACAAACGAATCGCAATGCGACTCTTGGAGAACATTTGCATGGCATGAACCAACCCTCCACTATCGCGGAGGAGGACGAAGACTCATTGGGCTCGATGGATCTGTTCGATGCTCCGAAGAGTGGATTGGCAAACTCCAAGCCGTTGCTTGCCGCCGCAATCAAAGCACGAGAACAAGCTGATAATTTTGAAAGAGCAGAACCAGCCAAACCAATGACAACTGTGGAGGAAGACCAGGAGTCTATTTTGGAATCTGATTCTTCATCAAGTTCTGACTCCACTCCGACAACGTCTGATTCTCCAGAAAAGGATGCACAAGCAGCTGCAGGAGCAGACGTTTTTGAAGATGCGAATTTGAGTCCTTCTACTGAAACTACGCAATTACTCCCCTTTATCCAACTTGAACTTGCAAATGTACCACAAAGTGCATACCTGATGGATGCAGATTCAAGTGTTGATTCGTCAGGCGCATCCGAGGAAAGAAAGGAAGAAGTGAACCGGGATGTGACTCTTGGAGAGCATCTGCGCCATCTGAACCAGCCAAGTATGAACACTGAAGAGGACGAAGACTCATTGGGCTCGACGGATCTGTTTGATGCTCCGAAGAGTGGTTTGGCTAAGTCCAAGCCCTTGCTCGCCGCCGCAATTAAAGCTCGTGAGCAAGCTGACCAGCTGGAACGAGAGCAACAAACTAAACCGGGCAAATTAGTCAACGAGTCCCAGTCCAAGGAACCAAGCAGGAAGTGGAGCATTGAAGAAACAGTTTACGGATTTCATCTTCGCGACCTGAACCAACCTGTAGTGATCACTGAAGAGGACGAAGACTCATTGGGCTCGATGGATCTGTTTGATGCTCCGAAAAGTGGTTTGGCTAAGTCCAAGCCCTTGCTCGCGGCCGCAATCAAAGCTCGTGAGCAAGCTGACCAGAAGGAATTGGAGGAACAAACGAATCGCAATGCGACTCTTGGAGAACATTTGCATGGCATGAACCAACCCTCCACTATCGCGGAGGAGGACGAAGACTCATTGGGCTCGATGGATCTGTTCGATGCTCCGAAGAGTGGATTGGCAAACTCCAAGCCGTTGCTTGCCGCCGCAATCAAAGCACGAGAACAAGCTGATAATTTTGAAAGAGCAGAACCAGCCAAACCAATGACAATTGTGGAGGAAGACCAGGAGTCTATTTTGGAATCTGATTCTTCATCACGTTCTGACCCCACTTCGACAACGCCTAATTCTCCAGAAAAGGATGCACAAGCAGCTGCAGGAGCAGACCTTTTTGAAGATGCGAATTTGAGTCCTTCTGCTGAAACTACGAAATTATTCCCCTTTATCCAACTTGAACTTGCAAAAGTACCACAAAGTGCATACCTGATGGATGCAGATTCAAGTGTTGATTCGTCAGGCGCATCCGGGGAAAGAAAGGAAGAAGTGAACCGGGATGTGACTCTTGGAGAGCATCTGCGCCATCTGAACCAGCCAAGTATGATCACTGAAGAGGACGAAGACTCATTGGGCTCGACGGATCTGTTTGATGCTCCGAAGAGTGGTTTGGCTAAGTCCAAGCCCTTGCTCGCCGCCGCAATTAAAGCTCGTGAGCAAGCTGACCAGCTGGAACGAGAGCAACAAACTAAACCGGGCAAATTAGTCAACGAGTCCCAGTCCAAGGAACCAAGCAGGAAGTGGAGCATTGAAGAAACAGTTTACGGATTTCATCTTCGCGACCTGAACCAACCTGTAGTGATCACTGAAGAGGACGAAGACTCATTGGGCTCGATGGATCTGTTTGATGCTCCGAAAAGTGGTTTGGCTAAGTCCAAGCCCTTGCTCGCGGCCGCAATCAAAGCTCGTGAGCAAGCTGACCAGCTGGAATTGGAGGAACAAACGAATCGCAATGCGACGCTTGGAGAACATTTGCATGGCATGAACCAACCCTCCACTATCGCGGAGGAGGACGAAGACTCACTGGGCTCGATGGATCTGTTCGATGCTCCGAAGAGTGGATTGGCAAACTCCAAGCCGTTGCTTGCCGCCGCAATCAAAGCACGAGAACAAGCTGATAATTTTGAAAGAGCAGAACCAGCCAAACCAATGACAATTGTGGAGGAAGACCAGGAGTCTATTTTGGAATCTGATTCTTCATCAAGTTCTGACCCCACTTCGACAACGCCTAATTCTCCAGAAAAGGATGCACAAGCAGCTGCAGGAGCAGACGTTTTTGAAGATGCGAATTTGAGTCCTTCTGCTGAAACTACGCAACTACTCCCCCTTATCCAACTTGAACTTGCAAACGTACCACAAAGTGCATACCTGATGGATGCAGATTCAAGTGTTGATTCGTCAGGCGCATCCGGGGAAAGAAAGGAAGAAGTGAACCGGGATGTGACTCTTGGAGAGCATCTGCGCCATCTGAACCAGCCAAGTATGATCACTGAAGAGGACGAAGACTCATTGGGCTCGACGGATCTGTTTGATGCTCCGAAGAGTGGTTTGGCTAAGTCCAAGCCCTTGCTCGCCGCCGCAATTAAAGCTCGTGAGCAAGCTGACCAGCTGGAACGAGAGCAACAAACTAAACCGGGCAAATTAGTCAACGAGTCCCAGTCCAAGGAACCAAGCAGGAAGTGGAGCATTGAAGAAACAGTTTACGGATTTCATCTTCGCGACCTGAACCAACCTGTAGTGATCACTGAAGAGGACGAAGACTCATTGGGCTCGATGGATCTGTTTGATGCTCCGAAAAGTGGTTTGGCTAAGTCCAAGCCCTTGCTCGCGGCCGCAATCAAAGCTCGTGAGCAAGCTGACCAGCTGGAATTGGAGGAACAAACGAATCGCAATGCGACGCTTGGAGAACATTTGCATGGCATGAACCAACCCTCCACTATCGCGGAGGAGGACGAAGACTCACTGGGCTCGATGGATCTGTTCGATGCTCCGAAGAGTGGATTGGCAAACTCCAAGCCGTTGCTTGCCGCCGCAATCAAAGCACGAGAACAAGCTGATAATTTTGAAAGAGCAGAACCAGCCAAACCAATGACAATTGTGGAGGAAGACCAGGAGTCTATTTTGGAATCTGATTCTTCATCAAGTTCTGACTCCACTTCGACAACGTCTGATTCTCCAGAAAAGGATGCACAAGCAGCTGCAGGAGCAGACCTTTTTGAAGATGCGAATTTGAGTCCTTCTGCTGAAACTACGCAATTACTCCCCTTTATCCAACTTGAACTTGCAAACGTACCACAAAGTGCATACCTAATGGATGCAGATTCAAGTGTTGATTCATCAGGCGCATCCGGGGAAAGAAAGGAAGAAGTGAACCGGGATGTGACTCTTGGAGAGCATCTGCGCCATCTGAACCAGCCAAGTATGATCACTGAAGAGGACGAAGACTCATTGGGCTCGACGGATCTGTTTGATGCTCCGAAGAGTGGTTTGGCTAAGTCCAAGCCCTTGCTCGCCGCCGCAATTAAAGCTCGTGAGCAAGCTGACCAGCTGGAACGAGAGCAACAAACTAAACCGGGCAAATTAGTCAACGAGTCCCAGTCCAAGGAACCAAGCAGGAAGTGGAGCATTGAAGAAACAGTTTACGGATTTCATCTTCGCGACCTGAACCAACCTGTAGTGATCACTGAAGAGGACGAAGACTCATTGGGCTCGATGGATCTGTTTGATGCTCCGAAAAGTGGTTTGGCTAAGTCCAAGCCCCTACTCGCGGCCGCAATCAAAGCTCGTGAGCAAGCTGACCAGCTGGAATTGGAGGAACAAACGAATCGCAATGCGACTCTTGGAGAACATTTGCATGGCATGAACCAACCCTCCACTATCGCGGAGGAGGACGAAGACTCATTGGGCTCGATGGATCTGTTCGATGCTCCGAAGAGTGGATTGGCAAAGTCCAAGCCGTTGCTTGCCGCCGCAATCAAAGCTCGCAAGCAATCTGACCAGCTGGAATTGGAAGAACAAACGAAACGCAATGTGACGCTTAGAGACCATTTGCATGGCATGAACCAACCCTTTACTATCGCGGAGAAGGACGAAGATTCTCTGGGATCAGCAGACCTTTCCGATTCTTTGAAGAGTGGATTGGCAATGTCCAAGCCCTTGCTTGCTGTCGCAGTCAAAGATCGTGAGCAAGCTGACCAGCTTGAATTGGAAGGAGAGACGCAGCCAACTGGGAATTTTGGAGTGCATTTGGACCGTTTTAACCAGCCCACTACAGTTGTTGAGGACGAGGAGGAGTCTTTAGGGTCTAATGTTCTGTTTGATCCTCCCAAAAGCGCTTTGACGAACTCAAAACCTTTGCTTGCAGCTGCAATTAAGGCAAGAGAACAACTTGATGATCAACCTGGCGAAATACAAATCAAGATCGTTAGTATTGACGAGCAGAAGTCGTCTGATAGTGCCAAGAAGATCACAAATCCCATCGAAGGCGAAGGTAAAGACTTGAGCGAATCTTCATTGGAGAAGAACACCAGTGGGAATTCAGGCCTCGATTCTGCGGAATATCTTTCTACTGTAGTGAACACAGTACCCAATGGACGAAATGACGGAAGTTCTCTGGACGACTCTAGTCTTTCTACAGGTGAGCTGGATGAGCTGGAATATCTCTTTCAAGTAATGGAAGAAGGAGACGAATACGATAAAAAGCGGCTCTATGATTTGGACTTAATTGCGAAGAGTGAAGCCGGAATGGAGTTGGACCAAGATGAAAAGATGGATCTTGCCATTATCATGCAGAATCGTCGAAAGGAACGAGCGTACCGAAACGAATTTCGGGTTTTGCTTGACAAAAAGGAGAAGGGGAAGGAAGTGGACGAAAGTCGGCTTCTATTTCTCGAATTATTCGCTCGCCGTCATTTGGGGGAAAGCCTATCAGAAGATGAACTTGGCTATTTGATGGCAGTGGAGGAGGAAGCTATGCTGTTAGAGAACTAGCTAGATTACAAGCAGAAGTAATAAAACAATTTTGAGATTACAGTCGGATATTTAACTTTCCATCATTGCCTATCCGACTCTATATGTGGACGCGTGATGTAGTTTATTTCAAGTGCGGTCTCTCGTCCCATCTTGTTTTGCTTCAAGAGTTCTTCTAGCTTTCGTAACTCTATCATTCCAACACTGTGGTACAGAGAGACCTTTGGCCTAATTCATAGGCCAGAGACTTATTTTGAGCCTAGAAGGATCAGATCAATCCTTTGAACTAAATCTTTTTGCTCCTTTTCGGTGCTCATCAACCAGTCCCCTCTTCGCCTTTGCGTTTTCTTCGAGTGTATCAAAACGTGATCTTGTTCTTCTCCAGTTTTTCTCCATGGATGAAAGATTCGAATTTCAAAATTACCAGTGTTACTTTTATCTGGAAGGCCTTTGATGGTAATGTAGCGCCCAAAGTCTTGATTCTTGAGGAATTGCTTGGCCTCCTGATAAAAAATACGGCTGCTTCCTGACCATCATTCCGAAGCTACCAGCGAGTGAGACGCAATCGAAGTTATGGCAAGGAGAAAGAACCAACCATTGAATACATCCGATCATACTCACATTTTCCACTATACTGAATAGTTATCAGAACCTTATCTTTCCCTTTCAAAGCTTTGTCATATTTGGTTGGCAAGGCTCCCATGATGATGTATCGGTAGGTACCCGCGTATGATGTCAGTTATTATAATATCTAGTAGAGTGAAGGATTTTAATTATCGCTCCACTTTAATCGTACGAGTCAACCTTTCGCCTTTCTTGCGGGCTCAAAATCTCCATATTTTCAAATTTCGACCACTGCTCAGGGTCATGAGTAGGAATAGCAACAACAATGGCAGAGCCAATAACAAGGGGCGTGGCATATCTCTTTGGTTCAAAAACAGAAGAAACACTGGCGCCAGCACTAGCACCAGATCGATCAATGATTCAGCGAGTGCAGCCGATATTCTTCTTCGGTCATCTTCTCGTTCAGTGGGAGCTCGGTCTACCACTTCGGAAAGTCACTCCAAGAAAAAGCTTGACAAAATCATTGGAGGCATCAAAGCTGTTGAGAAGACTCACAAGGAATTGGCAAAAATACCAAAAGTTGTTACACCGTGGCAAAACTTTGTGGAAGAAGAGTATTTTATCAAGTTCGGTGGAAAGTGGCCTGACACCTTCCCTGCGCGAACTCCGAATCCTTTGGAGTTTCAAATGAAACCAAGGACTCCAAGAGGCAACCCAGCGTCATGGAGTATAATACAAGAAGCAGAAGTTAAAACTCCAATGCCATGTGAGAATCCAGATGAGCTGCCTACCAAATGGCACAGGGTAATCACAGAACGTGACTGGAACTCTGTGGGAACCATGTTGGCAGCCGTGCAAAAGGAATCTGTGCCACCTAAAGGTCAAGAAACTAATACAGCGAATGAGGATATTACAGATGCAAACAAAATGTCTCCGGATGACGCAGGCACTGACGATGTATTGGCACCGCTTTCACAAACTGATTCTTCAGACTACACCCCCATGCATTTAGCCTGTGCGGAAAAAATGCCTTCGAAACTGACGCAGCAATTGTTTTCGTTGAACAAAGATGTTGCCATATTAAAGGACAATCAAGGAAGATTACCACTTCACCTTGCAGCGTTGTATCGTAACAGTGCAGGTGTGCTAGACCGTTTGGTCCGATCCAATCCAGACACCATTGCAGTGGCAGATTCCCATGGACGATCACCCCTCCGATATGCCCTTTTGGAAGCTGAGCGAAGGCGAGACAAGTCTCTTATTGGTATGGACTGGAAATATCCCGTGACCCGACGACAATCCCGGTGGCAGACGACACAAGTCGCAAATTGGAGCAATGTTGAGCTTTTACTGAAGAGTATGATCCGTCGAAAAAAGCTGTTGTATCATGCCAGCGATCAGGCACTAGTGCTCGAGTCGGTACAATGTTTTGCACCTCCCGACGTGGTGATATATATGTTGACGGTTGGAATCAAGGTGATAGCAAACGAAACCACTTCAGTGATTTTGTTTTCTTTGCTCTTTCGATTCAACTATCCCATTAAAGTTTTCGAAGTGGCCTTGCAAATGTGCATACGAACCATGCCCATACCCAAGCTGGTCGACTTGTTCCAGCAGGGTCTGGTACGGCATTTTGATGAGGGCTGTATGGAAATATACCGGGAAATGTCCGAAACCAAGCTCTCATATCGGGACGAGCTTTTGGAGGGTGGCGGCGTTGCAGCCTGGGATGATGATGCCTGCAAAGATTGGTGGGATCGACTCATGTTCTTTCTTACCGTGTCCACCTATCAGGGGTTGACCTATGACGAAGATCTCGGGATACCCCAAGACCAGCTGGTCCACTCGGCGCTGAGTATTCCAGAGATTGCTTCTTCATTGGTAGATTTCTTCCTACGCCTCACGCCAGATTGTGGTCTCCAGCCAGATATCAAAAATGGTGCTCTTCCCATTCACTTGGCATGTAAGAATACCAAAAACAAATCCATTGGGAAACGGTTGCAAATCTTTAAGTGTGCTCTAGAGGGGGGTTCTAATTTGCGACGAAAGGAGTACCGAGGGAGACTGCCATTGCACCTGGCTTTGGTAGCCGACCAACCACTACCAGTTCTTCAGACGATTCTAGCGCTCGACACTCAAACGGCCGGAAGAAGAGACCCAATGACCAGACTGTTCCCGTTTCAGGTACGATAATGTTTTGGGGATAATACTTGATTTCCTTTCGTACTGAACAGTTGTATTCAACTCATTTTCTGTTTCTTTAGTTAGCTGTCTTGTCTCATCCATTGAACGGAAGCAGAGAAGAAGGAGAAGGGAAAGAGGATGGAAACGATAGCAAGCCAAGTGGAGATGTTGTTTGGAGCAAGCTTGATGCTAGTTATGAATTATTGCGAGCCTGTCCTATTGCCGTATTACCACAAATGTACATGGGTACTGGCAACCTAAAGGCCGACATCAATCCAATTACGCTACACGTAGTAAATTGGTGCTACGAATACAGCCAAGACAAAGAATGGGTTCCCTGTGAGTATCGCATCCAACAGCTGAAAGAACTTCTTTCTTCAAAGGATACCGAGATCGCTGACGAGGATTTGCAACAACGGTGGACCAAAACAAAGCAACTGATATGGCAGTTGTATAAGATCCGTTCAGCCAAGCAAAAGAACAAGCTGAAGCTTGGCGACGACAAATTTCTGCTTCATGCTGCCCTGAAGAATGGTTTGACGCCTCCTCTTTTGATTGCTATCATCCTTCAACAGCAGGAATCATCCGTGCACAAAGCGCTATCAGGGAATACTTGGTATCCAGTTCATTTGGCCGCACGATCGCCGTCATATACACCGCTACCGTTCGAGACTAGTTGCATTGAGCTACCAGCCACCACAGCTCTAGGACTGGTGGCTAATGCCACCAAACCAGAAAATCTAAGGACGTTGTCGGGTGGCAAGACTCCATTGGAACTAGCTCTGACTACTGGAAAGACCTGGGATGACATTGAAGCATTGGTGAAACTGCATCCCGAAAGTCTCTTGCACCCAGAGTCTAAGAGTGGCCACTATCCATTTCAACACGTCGCTTCCAAGCAATCATCTCCTTCTGCCCACAAAATTGTCCGCTCGCGTAGCCTGCTGGAAAAGTGGAACACGGACCCTTCCTCAGGTGCCGAGAATGCGGCCAAAATCAAGGGATATCGCAAAGCCTACCAACTAGAAAAGTTAACGACGGTCTTCGAAATCTTGCGGGCCAAACCAGCTGCCATTCTTGCGGCCGCGAGAGGTATCAGTTTCAAAATGGAGACTTGATATTGGAAATAGAATGGAGTCAAAATGGAGACGACGAAATGTGTGCAAAAGATTACTGTTTTTCTTATATTATCATGTACAGGATGCAGTCTCCTCCAGTGCTTCACTTTGGAAGATCCATGCATCAGTAGATTGATTGATTCGTAAACGAGCATGTGCACTCCCAGCATCCTCATGTTGGCAGCGCAGATTGAGTGTCGAATGGAATATGTTATATTTGGTTGTTGTTACAATTAGAGAGGAAAGGAATTGTTGGCTGCCAGTGCAGGTGGGTTGGCTCAGGAAGATCCAACTCACAGTCCGGCATCCTTCTTCATCTTCTCCAATTCGTCATCCACCTTGGGATCTGATACAGCCGAAGATGCACTGCTAGTGCTGCTGCTACTAGTAGATGATGGCTCTGATGATCCACCCAACAACCCCTTCAATTTCTTTAATTCGTCATCCACTTCACTGGAAGCCTCCAAGGCCTTGAATTGAGATTCAATAGATGCACCCTCGGATCCTGGAAGCATATTTCTACCCAAGGATCCCATTTCAGCAGAAACTTCCGCAGCAGCCTCCAAGGCTTCCACCTTTTCTTCCATGCGTGTAAAGGCATCCATCGAAGTCTTGCCAGTGATTCCGCCCAACATGTCGTTGACTTGTTGAGTAGACTTGGCGACGCGAGCTCGCGCAGACATTTGGTCCTTTTTGGATTTGCTTTCTAGAATCTTCTTTTCGAGCATTTGCATTCCTTCGTACAATTTATCGATAGCTGCGGCTTGGGATTCAATCTGATTTTCAATGACCTTGGCTTCGTCAGTTTGAAGCTGACGACGAGTAAGAGCTTCCTTGGCGAGTTCCTCGTTACCCTTTTGGAGAGCCAATTGAGCTCGTTGGTACCAGTCTTGGGCCATAGATTCACATTGTTCCTTTTGCTTCATGAGGCGGCGTTGGGTGGCGGTGACTTCGGCGTAAGATTGTCGAATTTTGACCAAGTCGTTCTGTTAGATAAATAAAAAAGGGTAGAAACAGATAAAATGAGATATCCATACAAAATTTCATGTTTCACTGTCAAATAGAAACATGAAGAATGTGTATTGTACACACCTGCATATCCTCTAAAGCTTGGGTCATGATCTTTTCAGGGTCCTCCACCTTCTTCAAGAGAGCGTCAGCGTTGGACTTGGCGACACGAGCAAATCGATCAAACAGATTCATTTGAAGTGCCGTAGTGGGTCGTGCGTTAAACGAGGTCGTAGATTGGGATTGCATCAACTTGGCATTGGGATTGTATGTAGCTGGAAGTGCACGGTGCGGATTCACAAAGGAAGGCGAAGTAAAGGCTTCAGCAGGAGCCACAAGGAGGGCCAATAGGGCGGCGTTCGATATGGTAAATTTGACCATTGTATTGTTGAACGTGTTGTTGCTTGTTTCGATTGAAAACGATGTGGTTGGAAGTTTATGAGCTTCTCCTTTCGTCAGTTAGTGATATTACTTGACACGAGTAGAAGAATACACTATGCAGGTTTGAACTGAATTGACAACCTTCTTCTTCAAAGATAATGATGAGTGGGACGTTGCTTCGTTGCATCCACCATGTTTTTTTTCCACTTGGCAGTTTTGCTTACGTCACCCAAACGAAGGACAGACTTTCAATCTTGTTTCAACAAAAATGATTCACTCCTGTCATGTCAGACGAGTTCATTTTAAGATGATGTCTTGTAAAGTAAATAGTGTACACTAATCCGAAGTGAATATTTCAATAACACCATTATCCTGCAATTGAGCACATTCCCGTCTGTAGTAGAACCCAATGACTGCATCAAACAAGAGCGTATTCTTTTTAACTTGCTACGTCCTCGTCCGGGAAAGGAAGTCGGTGGTAGATATTCATAGATATTTCGCACATGCAGTCATGGCTACTCAGTCTTTCTCATCACCGCTTCTTCCACGATGAACCAATTATCACATTGCCCTTTGTCCCGTTTCACAGAATGCAACTACCATTTGTCGAGGCAAAGCTGTAAAGAACAGCAAGAAGACAACACTTGTCTTCGTACTTTCAAGATCCAAAAAGGGGCACATCCTTCCAACTCGTCTTTTTGTGTGCCTTTTCATATTCGTCATGAAAGTTGGGTGGTTCTGGTTTCTTCCCTACTATAGAGGAATTGCGTGTATCTATATTTGGATGTGGTTGATGTCCATCAATTGTTTTGGTTCGTAATCGTTCCACTTGGCCTGGCATATCCGACCACCCCATCATCAAAGTGTCGATTTCACAAGTAGTTCCCACCAGTTTCAAAGTCCAGACATTCAATTCATTGTCGCATAAAATGCTCATGGTCACTCGAATCTTATTATTTGCCTTGACTTGGACCGTCATGCTAGAAGGGACATAAACGATGCCATACTGCCAAAACATGTCATAGAGTAAACTAGTAAGGGCGCCAAAACCAATTGAAACAGGTTGCAAATAGACATGATCGTCCTTTTCAAAATCACTCCGGGGTTGAATCTTCCATAAGGGTTGCTTCTTTGGTTCCACACATTCTTCGTCGTTGACGGCATTGGCATCACCCCCTCGGCAGGCAAGGGCAGCTGCCTCCAGTTCCACTTTTTGAGTATCGTGTACATGCCCAATATGATTCAATCCCCCCTGCCAATCGGGATAATAGACATCGCATGCCAAGGCATAAATATCGATAGGAACATAATTGTCGTTGCGGAGCCAAACGTCCGCTCCCAACTTTGCCCTGCCGCCCCATGCTGGCCACATGCTCTTAATCCCAAAGGAATAGGCAGGAAGTCTTGGCTTGAGGAACTGGGCGGCAATCAGCGCTCCAACCGTCCATAAGGCTAAGGCTGGAATGAAGGCTACCATGATGTGTATGTTTATCTTTGTATGTCCTGTGTAGTTGATTGGTGATGGGTGATTGATTTTATAGTGTGTTTGTCGTCACTCCAGTGAGTTGTTGAAATCAGTCACGCGGAAAATCGGTTCGTGATTGAATTCAATGTAAAGGCGTAGCATACTGCGACTGACTCCGTCGTCTTACACACCGAAGAATAAGGAAACTGTAGCTAATCCAAATAGAAAAGCTCCAAGCACCGAAATGTGACTTTGTTCTGGGTAACTAGACAGTAATAAAATATGTGGCTTTTGTGTAGTATCAAAGATAGCCGACTGGTGGTGGCGCCTTCCGCTTGGGCGGTGTTCGTCCTACTGTAGGTCTTTCCTCTGCGGTGCGAAGCTAAGCTGGTCTTACGGTTTCTATCAATCCGTCAATGAACGTATCAATTCAACCAATATCGATGAAGTAAGCTGTCACTGCTTACAGTAGCTTTCAATGACTGAAGAAGGCCGTATGGAGAATATTGTGATCCATCGTATTGAACTTTTGTAATGTCTACGTTTGAAAATACAAGACGATGTCTCTTATTCACGCTGTTATCTACACCTATGACTACCGGTACTGGTGCCTCAAATCGGGGGAAGCGACAATAAGTAAGCAATGTCTGAAAGATCGCTTTTTTCGTAACGGCTCAGGCGGTTGCGAGTCGATACAAGCTGCTTCATACTGTCAACGGGCCTCTCTAGATCATGGAGCATCTGGCGAAGGATGACCTTTTCCTCCTCCAAGCCGAACTTCACATCGCCACGGAACAGCTTGAGAGACACTAATGTTTCAATTGATACAGGAAGTGACCACTGTCCAAGGCTGGGACAGTCACAAGAAAGTTGAAACACATGATCGATTGAGACATTTGGTTTATCTGACAGTCCCCACCACAGTGGCAACAGATTGTTGAGCTCGTACAATGATATGAGCACCACTCTTCCATCTGGAAATATAACCAATGGATCAACGAGGCGTAGAAATGGAGACACGCCACTGCATTCCTTCGCCTTTTCGATGGTCTCCCAGAAGTTTGGCGTGCAGAAAATCTTCTTGCTCCATTGAATAGCATTCATTTCTGTGACTCCATATTCTTCGATCAAATCCGATAGCTGATGGAAATGAGACAGGAAGAGGCGCTGTGGTTCATTGAATAACAGCCAGTAGTCCCAGTCTTCTTGAGAACGTGGACTTTGCGATGTTACTGCTACTTCACGTTCCTCGTCCTGCTCAGATTCCGAATGAACCTCTTTCTCGCACTCTTCTGCTCCACTTGTGGCCGCAACCTCAACTTCCTTTCCGATTGATCTTGCGTATTCTGTCACATCTTGCAGAAATGCGCTCTCCGTGCTTACGACTTCTCCATCACTGTCCAAATATTCATGAAATGACTGGTTCTGTACAATGCTTTTGCTGTACATCTCGTTCAACTCGAAATTATCGTTGGCAGGTCTCGGAAAAGAAATGAAGTCTTTTGCTCTTTGCACGTAGACTGGAAGCGCTCTCTCCACAGATTTGATACCATTTTCGACAATCATGTTTAGAATATCCAAGGTTGTCGACTTCTTGGTCACAACCTCTGTGGTACCCCCCAGAATCAACGACTGGCCTCCAGGGAACAACTGACGCATCCGGGCACAACCTTGTAAGAATTTGTCTTTGGTAAGTCTTTTGTCCAGAGTGACAAGAGCAGAAGAGTCCCTAAGAAGTTTGAAATCGGTCCCTCTGCAGCGGCTCTCGTCAAAATACACAAAACAATCACAGGCTGAAAGTGTTGATCGGGTGATGGATTGTGTCCGTCCGGTTGCAATTTCGAATACTTCCCAGCGCTCCTTGTCTGTCGAGTAGTAAACAAAGCCTTTAAAGACACATCTTTCATTTTTCAATTTCATTGCCACATGTCTGACAACAGAATCGCGTTTGGAACCCGCCATCAATCCCCCAGTATCAATCAATGCTTGTACCTTCAACTGAAAACAGTCGTCCAAAATGATTTCCCAGATTGCCGAATTGCCCATAACTACTTGGTGGACCTTTTGGGTGCACGAAAGGACAAGATCGATCATTTTTCCATTCGTGGCACACAGCTCCTTGTCGGCATGCTGGATTTGCTTGACTTGATAGGGCAAAAGAAATCGGTTGTCGTCCGTTCCAGAAAAGCCAATGATTTGCTTTACATGATCTGTGTCCGCCAGATTCCACGCGCTTGAAATCCTTCTCTGTGGATATTGCATCGTCTCGACCGGGAAAACAACCTCGTTCAACCAAAAAAACACAACCTCCATGCATCGATTGAGTCTGTGGTGCATTAGTTCAAACTGGGCATGATTGCTGGTGTCAACTTTCCCGTATGTATCAAAACGATCGAGTTCATTAGTAGGAATGTCGAGTCTAACCTTTTCGATCCAGGTGTCATACGTTGAGAGCTTCACACTCAGTCCTTTTGCATCTAGCAAATCAAGAGCTCTTCGAAACTGCTGCTTTGTCAGACCCAAATAGAGATAGGAGAGATTCGTATATGCAATCGCTACGTCAGGGTGACTAAACTCTGCTCTTGCTTTTGGTGTATCGCTAGCTGAATATGGAACTGCCATCTGTGTATCATAATCATGGAGATGACGCAAACCGTATGATACCCCCCAACGTGATTGTAGGGAATGCAGGAGAATGCCATGGGCCAGGAATCCACGTGCTGCGAGTATGTCATTTTCGAATAAATTGAAAAGAGGGGTGTCTCTGATTACAATTGACGTATTCTGAAACTCCGGATCAGAGATCAGCCTTACCAACAACTCAATATCTTGTCGTTGCTTCATTGTTTCGAGCCACGGGAAATCCGACGGTGGGTTCCGCACAAAATGTTCCGCAATCTTGCTTGCAAGAAAGTTTTTGTCTTCTCTCGATAGCTTCAGAATTCTGATGCCATTGAAGTTACCAGATTTGCTATCTTGCTTGTAGAAAGCTGTCGAGTCCGTTAGCAACCCTAACAAGGCTTGACACTCTCCTCGACTCAAAATAGTCAACAACGACTGGAACATAGTACAACGATTTGAACGAGAAGGGAGATCCAGTTTTGTGCCCATGGCGTACACAAGCTGGAAGCTGGGTTCCAAGATCGCATCGCTTTCGTCCAAAACATCAACAATAAGTGTTTTTGATAGATCCGCCTTCAAAGAAACATTGCAGTCGTGCTGTTTCAGGAGAAGCGAATTCCGATGCTGTGGGGTAACAATAAGGCATCCTCCATGCATATAACAGCGCCTCATTTCTTCATCCAGAATCTTTACTGAAAACTCATCGATATCGAAGTCTCTGATAAAAGGTAGGGTGAAAATTTTGGTGTGCTGCACACTTGCGACAAGGGACTGCTGATAAAATAGTAGAGCTTCCTGCAGAATTGACGGCAATACATTGATTCGTGCCAGTTTGCGCTGTTGGCGACAGAGTTCCAAGATCAGCATTGGTACCATGACTCTCGTTTTGCCTGACCCCATGTTGAGCTGGATTACTGATCCTGTTGACTCCGTTAGCAGTTGATCAACAGTCTTGAATTGTTCTGGGCGAATTTGAAGTTGTTGCTCAACCTCAAATGCCAACCACCGAGGATACTGCTTGGGATCCCATATTCTGGTACATTCTAGCTCTTGAATGAGTTCTTCTATCTTTCTTTGCCTTGAAAAACGTTCGAGACGACGGAGTTTGTCCTCAAATACACAAAGTAGAGCCCAGTCGATTATTTGTGATTTGATTCTTTGAACCCAGGAAAAGCCGTTCTCACTTGGCTGAATTCGTCGCAACGACGACTTGCTATAAATCATTTGCAGGAGATCGCTGGAAACAAATTTACACATCGAGCGAAAAAAGAAATCAAAGCGTCGTCTCGAGCAAAGTGCACTGTTCAGCTCACCAAGTAGGCGCCTTTCAATTGATTCTCTCCTAAACAGCACTTCTCTTCCAATTTCAGAGATTTCAGAGAAAACCACAATCCCACCAACGACATTCTTTACAGACAAGTCAGCGTATATCCGATAGCTAGTACGCAAGTCCAGGAAAACCTGTTCGCATATGGTAGTGCCCTTGCTTTCTTCGTGATCCTCGCCTGAATCAGTGGGTGGTAGTTCTGACTCACCAATACACGCTCCATTGGAGAATTGTGCTTCAAATCTCTTTAACTGACCCTTCGGAACTTGTCCGCCCAAGGTTGCATGGCCCTCAAAAGAATTTGTGAGCGGAAATTGTAAGGTGCCATTCCGTTTTTCATATGACAACAATGGTTGAAAATCACCCATTTCAATCCTCTTGATGTATTTGGCTGTGTCACTTTCTTCAACAGAAGTTTTGCTCTCATTGAATGCTTCAATTGGCCCTTTAAGAACACGACAAAAGACGCTCTGCTCCTCGACAGAAGTGAGGTACGGGCCAGAAAAAGATGTGCGATACTCTTCAGATGCCAATTTGTCCAAATCCAAGAATTCTTCTTGTTCCGGCGTACGCTTGTATGGGACTCGTAAAGAAAGAGACCCACGATAGATATGCCAAATTAGAAGGCGAAGTGCAGATGAATGATGACTGTGCCTTGATAGATTCCGTAGTTTAGCAAGTTCCTCATCAGAGAAACAAAAGTTTTGAAAGCATTGCCGAAGAAGCTCCGTAGCGACTGTAAATCCGGTTTTCCCGGTTCTACGGTCTGGGACCAAGCTTCCAGAGGATGCATATAAACATGCCAGGTGAAGCCGACCAAGTGTATTCGAAGACTGAAGGTAGCAGAATCGTCGATGGGTATGAAAGACATGGAAGGTCATATTGGTGTCCCAATTACCCAGATTTCTTATCTCTCCTGATTGAAGTACTTCTCCACACGGAACTATTACAATCTCTTCACCCTCATCATTCGACAGCAAAAGAAAGGTATTGAATCCTGGTAGTGTATCAGATAGCTGTTGCTCTGGGGTCATTATGTAGCCCTTGAAGTCGTCTGATCTGATCCCATCATCAACTTGCGTGAAGTTGAGTCCATAACGCGGAAGAGAGTACTTGATGACTCCGAATCGATCGACTGTGACAAAAACAAAGGACGGTTCTTCGAATCCAATTTCCTGGAGCAATTTGACGAAAGGAGTCAATCAACTGAGAACTTCATCAAATCGCTCTTCATTCTCGTCTATTTCCTGAATCGATGCAAATTGAAAAGAAGGCGGAATCGAAAGGAGCTTTCCAGGTTTCATTGCATACGATACTTGGTGACTTTCTACCAATATGTCGCGAAGCAAAAGATACTGCTGCCTAGCATTTAGCCAATGACTGTGCAGCTCGACAAGATGGGGTTGGAGAGATACGCTGCCACGATCCAATAGTTCAAGCTTTTCGGAGTTGTGGAACCCTTTCCTTGAGTCGAATTCAAATATATGAAGTCGATCGTCTGCATCGCTGACGAAGTCGTAGAAGAAATGCTCTTTCATTTTGCGCGTTGTCCGGTAATGCCGTAGTCCTTCGACTGATACTTCAGGGCTAGCCTTGCCAAAGTGTCTCACATAGAAGCTGTCCGATGTGATCGATTGCGGAAGAAAGCTTTTTGGTTTTCCATTCACGAGAACAATGCCGTTATTCAAGTTAATCGAAAAGAGTCGGCCCCCTACAACAGCCTCAAAGCATGCTGTACTTTCAGCACTATCGTAATGCACCTCCGACCACTCGAGATCCGAAGGTGCGCTCTCAACGACAGCTTGAACAAGAGATGTAAGCAGCAAATCGCGGTTCGTCGTGAAATCGCGGTCGCCAGAGGTCCATTTTGTCCCCATCACTTTCATGACAGCTTGCTGCAAGACATTGTCAGCCTTTTCTTGCGAAAGCAGCAACCGGTCGTTGTATAGCACGAGAAAGCGTAGCAGCTTGCTTCTGTGTGGAAAGGTCATATTCACTGAAGCAAGGCACAGTATAGCAAAGCCGAGGAAACACGCTTGCTTTGCAATCAGGTCGACGCTCTGTGTTTCCAATTTCAAGGCTTCAGCCCATTGCTCGAAAATCTCAGAAGACTGGATCGCAACTTCTTCAAGAGGCGTGTGGTACTGTCCATAAAAGCCGCTAATGACACCAGTCAACAGCAAGTTTTCGTACAACTTTTGGGCTTCTCGAAGCTTATTCACTTCGCGACACCAAAATAATTCCATAGCTCCCATTCCGTTCCATTCTGGTTGAAGGTCAGTTTTCCAATCGCAAGCTCCGATTTGGAACACAGTCTGCCGAATGAGAATATGGGAACAAGGATTCCCAAGCGGTAACAACTCTTCAAACAGGACATTGAGAAGACTTCGTATTTGTGTTCGGCCCGCTGCCCGGATGCTCGCAAAGGCATTGTATTGTTCCACTGTCAACCAATTGGGTTTCAGCTCAGGTCTTGATGGTGCAATATTCTCACGAGATGATTCTTCATTTTCACCTGAATTGGCTACCAAGAAGACGCGCATTGTAAAGTCAGTATTGTCATCCAATTTGCTGGGCCAGTTGGGATAAAATTTCTCGGTAAAGAGATTAGGGCTGTCTCGGTGTTGTGTTTCAAAAGGAGAACTTGATTCCCATTCAATAGAAAAGTTGCCCAAATTGGGAAAAGTGACTCCGGTTCTCTCGGTCCAATATCTGATATCGGTACTAGGTGGAGAATTTGACACCTTGACATTACAGAGAAGCCGAATCATACCTTCAGAAACCTGATGTTGCCACAACCCGCGGCTTTCACCAAGCCAAGAGAGTAAGGTTATACCCATCGGCCTAGCCGCAGGAACTTTCCCTTAATGCCACAAAAGACATTCTGCTCGATGTGCAATCTCAGCCAGCTGGCTGACATGTCCATCCATGATTATGAAGAAAAGAAGCGATTCCGCATCGCTCTCCTCTGGCAATGAATATGTCAAATTACTAGGCTTCCATTCGAGCGACTCAATCTCTCTTTTCAGCGAGGAAACTCGAGCATTTGCATTGTTTACATTTCCCACCGCATTATTGTAGCTTGGATCCAATTGATAATTATAATTTTGTTGGATTTTCTCAAGTCTTGCCTGCGCAGTGACGAGGTCTCTCTTTGCACCAGACAAATCCCTGTCTAACTTGTAAAGTATGTCTTGGCGCTCAGAAATGTCTCGCCACCTTTCTTCAATCTCTCGTCGCGAAGCGGTGAGAAAGCCTTTGTGCAGTTGCCTATTCATTTTGGCCCTCTCACTTTGTTCTGAAGCAAAGTGCTTTGCCAGACTCCAAGTATCTTCATGGTTTCGAAATGGTTGTCTGGCTCTGTTAGCTCGCGTTTCAAGGAAATGGCGTACTTTTCTAGCAGCGTCGATCGCGCCTTTGTCATCCAAAACTAAATGATCAAGATCGTTTGGGTCAAACGCGGGGATATACTCCTTAAAGAACGTATGTTTCTGCTCCATTTCACGGTGAGCAAAACAGAAACAGACGACTGCCGCCAAGAGCTCGTAGCTCTGAATCACAACTGACATCGTGTACCTTCCCTCATTTGCAGAAGCAAAGGCAACCTTAACGATGCTTGAGAAACGATCAAGATCCTGTTTCAGTTGTACAACATATTCTGGGGTCGAGTCCTCGTTGAGAGTTGAAGCCGCTTTCCAGAACCTGAGATTCAGTGCATGTAACTGTACCCAAGCTTCTGAAAGGCTTCCGGAGAAGGTGATAGATTTCATATCGATCCACATAAGATTCTGTTTCGCCTCCTTTCGGCTCAGTTCGAGCCTTGACTCATTTTCACTAATCGGCGGAAGCAGAGGCTCTGTCGGAAATTCTGGAGCCTTCAAATTGTCTAGAATCTCGGAAACGTTAGTCTGCTTCAACTCTTGTCCTAATCCATACGATACAGAATAGAGTCGGTCGTGATGGCTTCGCATTTGCTGCAAGATCTTTTGCTGCAGGGGGTCGTCTTGTAGCTTTTCAACAAATGACTTGGTCTCGCGCATCACAATAATATAGCGATCCATAGAGCGAGCATCGTAGCTCGTAATTTTGGGTAGCTCGTCCAAGAAGCTAGAGAGGTAGATAGCCATGAGGGTAGTGAACTAGTTTCCTGGACGGCCAGCCAAATGAAGCATAGTCGAGACGACAGAAAACACCAAAGGGGCTGCTGTGTTTCGCTGCTTTCCACCGGAATGCAACCCGACATCTGTAGTACCTCCATATGTCGACCCGTTTCCAGAAAAGGATTCAATGACCTGCTTATCGGCATCCGATACCACATTCTTGATCGATTGATCAAGCTTTTCATTCAGAAACGAAGGAGTCTTTTGGTTTCCTTCATTGCCAGGTGTGTTTCTTCGGTTAGCACCCGTGTTCTTTTCTGACTCCCGCAAAGCTTGCACTAAAGCCTCTTCAAGCTTGTTGAGGAGATGAGTTGGGAATGGTCCTTGGTCCATCAACCTCGGTGCCTCGAGGGTTGGAACAGCATAGCATTCGCGGCCATCTGAAGAAGCATGGATCTTAGCTTCCCATTTATCCAATCCAACAGTTCGGACGAAAACTTCAAGAGAGTCAAGGGTCTTGTACAAAATCGCAGCACCATAAGTTGGATGAAACGAGACTAAATGGTAGGGGTTGCGAACGTTAAAGACTTCCGCAGGCAGGAACTCTTGCGCCAATTCATTATCAAGAAGAGAATCCCAGAAATGTTCATAGATCGCTTCCGATGTCGCAGAGGATTGGTTGTCCAACGCCCCTTTGTCGTTGAAGTGGAAGATGTGTTCCGCAATCTCCATCACAGAGATAAGGCGCCTGTATGCTGTGCAACAGGTCCCTTCAATATATGCCTTCTGAGTTCTGAGTTATCTGTGTTTCGAACACTGTCTCAAGCAGAAAGTGCGAGCGCAAATCGAAAGTCTCTCCATTCCTCTAGAGTTGAGACCTTCCGTTGCGAAAAACAACTCCCACGAAGTTTTCACCCGTGATTTGTATGCTTATCACGCCGGTCATCGTTTGCCCATACACAACAAATATAGGCCTCGCTGAACAGTAGTGCGCCAGGATCGGTCATCATGTGTCCGACACGGATTGACCTTTCATCGATAACGTGGAAGGATGAGCTAAGCGTTGGATGTGTGTTGAGGTGTTCTAGTTTTATGGAGCTTATGTAGCTTCTTTTGAGGACCCGGTTTCCACCGGTACATGCTGTACTCTTTAATACCGGTAGAGAGGAAAGTAACGGATCTTTGTCATCAAAGCAATAGATATATATGTAGCAATGTATCATATATGTAGCAATGTATCTTTACCGTAAAAATGTAATCATTGCTACATATGTTCTACTTGTACCCTACAAGTCTGCAGTCTTTTTATCTTCCTCTCTCATCTTTTGCAATCTTCGTCGTTCCGCCTTCAGTTTCCGTTCCTTTTCTTTTTTCTCAAAGACTGGATTCTTTCCAATTCCAAACATGGGACAATTCTTGCACCCTCTGGAAGGACAATTGTTGCATCGAAGGCCTGCATTTCCAGAAATCTTTTGGGGTTCGGAAAACTTGACGGAGCTTCCTACTCGGCTGGCTTCGGCACCATTTCCGACAAGACGAGCCTTGTAGTTAATATTGAGGTCACGTCGTTCCTTCTCCAGTCTTTCGAGTTCGTCATAGGGGACGTAGTGAATGCAATCGACGGGACTGGTATAAAATGTCGTTAGTGGATTTTCATCAAGGTGAAACATATGATTCTGTAGATCCCGAACATCATGATACTCACCAAGTTTCAATTGCAATGGCAATTGTTTCTTCATCATCGCCCCACTGGCTAAAGACTCTGGCCCTTCCATATTCTTCTTCCATGAAGAAAGTTGACTGGGCAATCATTGCACAGTTGGTACATCCAATGCATGTCATCTCATCGACATATACCATTTGTTGTCGAATTGGTTCGCCAGTTTCCTTATCCTTCTCTACCATAGTATGCGATTCTACCGTGGTCCAGTCAACATCATCGTCGGCGTATCCTTCCTCAACAAATGCTTTCATACCTTCAACCATTCCTTCTTGTTCCATACTGTCGTCCATGGCAACGTCGAATGTATTTGCTATCGTCGCATCATCAAAGCCCCATTCTTGCATCTGACGGACCTTATCGGCTCGTTCGGCTTCGGCCATGTTGAAAGAAACTTCTTCTCCAGAAATGGACGCCAATTGATCCAACCAAGCATCTGCCTCGTCGACTTCTTCCACTGGTGCCTTTAATTCTCCTTTGGCTTTATCATCATCGTCTTCTTCTTCTTCTTCAGGTGAAGGTTCAAACTGGGACCAAAAGCTTCCATCCTGTTTGCGTGCCATCATTTCTTGCCAATCTTCGTTGTCTTCGTAGTTGTCGTCGGCGGATTTCCACAAGTTGGAATCACTAGCCGCAGGATCGTTCCAATCCGAAGACATGTGGACTGTCATTGCACTGTTGCTGGACTGTTGTGGTTGTCGTGGTGGTGGTTGCACAAAGGCTTGACTTGTTCCAGCCAGAATTGCCAACGACGAGAGACGGATTGTATTTAGTTTTGCTGTCATTGTGTTATTATGTCAGTCAGTCTGATCAGCACTTGTCGTCATGTAAAGCTGCAAGTTTAACTAACTTGTGCTTCGTTTGCATCAAAGATCGATTGAAGGAAGAATCAAAACTCTTTGTGCCTTTCAGTTTTGGTTGCCATGATCTTGAGAAGAATTTGGAGGAATGATAATTGATGACGTAAGCATGCAAGCTGACGACACGTCACATACGACTGATTGATTTCAATTCAAACACGAATCTTTGGTTCCATCCCTCCCCGTCTTCAGCTCCCCTCCTCCAAAATGCACTGTATCTTTGCCATACATTTGACGATGACGGATGCAACAGAACCGAAACCGCTTTCTGAGTAACACGAGTGCAAAAAGCTGCAAGGACAACCGAAAACGAGTTATTAATATAAGAACTTCAAGAAACGATCCACCAACAACGCAGATCACAGACAAGAGAAAAAGACAAGAGAATCATGCCATCCTATGGAGCAGTCGATACACAGCGATCCGAGGACGCTGAGACCAATGCTGCCGACAATTCCTTTGAAGAAATGGACATGCGCTTTCTAAAGGAGCAGAAGGTCTCACAGGACGCCCGTCGGCGCAAGGTGATATCCGCTTTGGTTCCCATTCTCGTCGCCCTTGTCATCATCCTTCTCTTTGCAAAGATTTCACTCGGAGCAATTGGACCAGCGCATGACCCCAAATACCCTACGGAATACGGATCCAAGGCAGCTCCAGCACCCTCTCCAAAGTCATCCACACCAACTGGAGAAGAACCATCATCAGTGTCGGCTTTTCCTCCGGCCTCGTCATATTCGTCGTCTTCCAACACAACGGCCAAGAACAAGAACATGAACACTACTAGTACGAGTATCACCACCACAGCGTCGTGTAGTGAAAATAGACCATGCTATCAACTGGGGTTAACAGGTCAATGCTGTCCAACTGGGGAGGGTGTCATGTTGGGTTGTTGCCAATAGAGGCCTTCGCAACATTATTATTGCGAGAATCGTCTCCACAAATCCGACCATTTCATTTTCATTTCAAACACAATCAAAAGCTCCGACCACGATACATGTATTCCTTTCACTCATTCTACATAAAACGTACCTTCATCCTGCATAAGCCAAATACTAGCAAACCATTTACTACTACTACTACAAGAATCAGCAAAAGAATACAATACCAACAGAACAAGAATCTTGATCGTAGTTAATATTTTAACTATACTAGAGATCCCCACAGTGTCTGTGTCCAGGGAGTGAATCTTCCATCGTTCTAACAAATCCTTCCAATCCATCCATTCATCCGATCCATCCATTCGTCCTTTTCCCCCAATCCATTCAATTCTTTGTCTTTTAATTGGCTCCGTCAACTTCGGGTAATGATTGGCGCAACGGATCCATGCTGGAAAATGAGCTAGGACCTGCACCGTCTTCCGGCTCGTTAACGACATCTTCGCTAGCGGCTCCTCCCTCAACATTTCCAGCACCGCCCTCCTGATACCAACCACCAGCAGCACTCATGGCCATGGGTCCAGATGGCGGCAAAGAGGAGGGCATGTAAGCGCGTCCTCCTTGGTTTCCACCAGCACCACCCTGATTTCCACCTTGGGGATTGTATCCTCCATTAGGTCCTCTCTCATTTTGCTGTTCGGCGGATCGGATTTGCTTGTGTTGTACTTTCAAGCGCTTGTTGCCAATCTGAAAGAATGGTGATGAGGAGAAGAGGTGAGCACACTGAATAATTGGAAACAAGAAAACCAAAAGGAGCCAATCGTAATAATAATGATGATAATAATACGTACCGTATATCCATTCAATTCCTTAATAGCAATCGCTGCTGCATCCGGACTATCGTATGACACAAATCCAAACCCACGGCTTCGACCCGACTCCTTTTCCACCATAATTCTAACACTGAGCAGAGTACCAAATGGAGAGAACAAATGGTACATGTCCATGTTGGAGAAGTGATTGGGAATGTGAAAGATGAACAAGTTGGCGCCATCTGGACCCTTGTTGGACGCCGTTGTTTGAATGGGAGGTCCAGGAGAAGCGGTTGGATAATATTGACCTCCATAGTTTGCCATTTGCTGTCCAGGAACTCCTCGGCCACCACCCCCGGGCATGCCTGGATATGACATAGTAGGGCGAGGCTGAAGTGGGCTGACAGCCGTCATGCCATACATATCAGGAGTCGGATATCCCCATTGAGGGGCCTGCTGATGATGGGAGAAATGACCACCTGGGCTATTCGGACTACTGCCATAAACGCCATAGCCTTGATCTTGTTGGCTATCTACAGATGGTGCAAGCATGGTTTCTTCAAAGGAATAAGATCTTCCTGCTGCTGTACGAGGTGGCATTCCTGGAACATAAGGCATGGGCATTCCTTGTTGGGCAGGTGAGTTTGGCGGATATGAGTTTTGTCTACATATATTGCAAGCAAGAGGGAAAAGGTAAGACGCGCGATACGATGTTGCCAACGAGCATTCAACAGCAGGTTTCGTACCGATTGTCGGTCCATCCAGAGAAATCGTTTGGAACAGGTCCCAATCCAGAGGAGGAAAGATAGTGAGGTCCAGGACTACCTGGAGCATGCTGTTGCATAGATCCATCAAACACGTGGTGATGGTCCAGCAAACCATGCGTTGGCTGTCCACTCAAAGTTGGAAAGAGTGGAGAAGCTGGTGGGACACCCGTCAAACTCGAGGCCGTGTGAGAGGGACTGTTGGGTGGTTGCTGGGCAGCTGTGCTATAAGGGTGAACATGAACGGTCCCAAAAGGACTTCCTGGATAAGCAGCCGGTTGCAGAAATGCGCCAACATCATAACCAGTTGCTCCTGCTGGTGAGGGAGGCTCAGGGGTCACTTGCGTTTGCGAATAATAGTACGCCTGTGGCTGTGGGGTCAGGTGTGCGGGAAGAGCCTGAGGATAACCTGAGACTGATTGGACAGGAGAATTGGATACTCTATCCGGGGAACCTTTCTTGTCTTCCTTGGTGTCAGATATGACAACAGATCCTTCCTCGCCGGTGGTGGGGGCGACCACTGGGTCTTGTTCGGGCTCTTTCCCATCATGCGAGGATGGAGGAGTCACAACATCAGCGACATTATCTTCGGTAGAGGCCATTCCTTCCAAGCCAGAAGCACCGGGGTAAGGATGATGATCAACTACGGTAGCCCCCACTGGAATTACGGACACCGGCATTCAGATCTTCTTGATTTGGAACAGTAGACACACAGCAAAAAAGAAAAAGATCACCAAAACACGAACTCCAAAAGAATTTTCCTTTCGAAGAATCTATTTATTGTCCAAACTACAGCGAGAGGGAGGACACCTGGGTACTGAGCTTCCAATGTGTTTTGTCAAGGCAATAGCTGAGAGCAGATGATACTTTCAGGGTAAAGGGACTTGATGAGAACGATTGATTGATCCTGCTATCATCTGAATGTTCCCTAGCCTAGATTTTTCGTGTTCGGTAGGAAATCCATCACCTGTACCTGTAGAAAAAGTACCTACTACAAGTCGTACCAGGTTCACCGTAGAACACAAAATAAGATACTGAGACAAACGGGACACGACTAACCGTTAAATCGATTAGACCGCCTCGTATCGGACCATCACAGACCGTAGGATCTGACCGTCGCTACGCCCCTTAGAGTACATAGCCGATTGCGCTCGCCCACCACGAAGAACTCAAAACATCAAAACCATCACTTCTCTTTTTTCTTTAGAATGATGATGCAGCAAACACTTCTCCTACTGGGGTTATTGACAGCTACAGAGGGTTTTGGTAGCAGTTTATCAGTTTCAACAAGAATAGGATCAAGGCTTACACAAACTAGTCAACATGCCAAGGCGCCACCAGAGTTTTCAGTCGTTGGCGAAGACGACGACTACAAGCCTAGCCCGCCTCCCGAGTTTACCATTGAAGATGACGATGATTACGTTCCTTCACCGTCTGCAGTGAAGAAAAGATCTTATAATCCTCCACCAGAGTTTACAGTTGAAGATGATGCTGATGATTACGTTCCTTCGCCGTCTCCAGTGAAACGTTCTCGCAGTCCTCCTTCAAAATTTTCAGTCGATGATGCCGCTGCCTCATACTCAGAGAGTACAGCACCAAGACAAAGCGTTCGCCGACCCAAACGAAAAGTTATTCCCAGCATGAAGGGAACGAGTTGGATGCAAAAGAATGCGCAATTTTCGAATGATCCCGTGCCAGAAAAGATCGAAGAGCAACCACCACGGTTCAACAGTCGTGATTCTCCTCGTGCCGGAAGAGGGCCGCCGTCCAGAGATGGAAGAGGACCGTTCAACTCTCGCGACTCCCCTCGTTCCGGAAGAGGACCACCCCCCAGAGATGGAAGTAACTTTCGCCAAAATTTCCGAGCCACTCGTGTCTTTGTGCAGGGAATCCCACCAGGAACCTCTTGGCAAGACTTGAAGGATCACTTCAAAAAGGCAGGAGATGTGGTATTTGCTTCTGTAAGTGTCGACATGGAAACAGGGGAATCCCGAGGGCATGGAATTGTACAATTTGAAGAGCCCGAAATGGCTGAACAGGCCATTAAAATCATGCGGGACCATCCATTGAATGGATCGGAACTTTACGTGAGAGAAGATGTTCAAGAAAACAAGAATGGAGCAGAAATGAAACCAAAGGGACCCACACCACCCACCAAATGGAAATGCGCCAACGAGGACAACGCTGCCTATTTGGACGAAGGGGAAATTATGGCCATTCGCAACTTGATCAAGGCGAGAGACGATGCCCGAAGACGTCGCAAGTATGATGTTTCAGACACTATACGAGATCAACTAAAAGAAACACACGGGGTCTTTATCGATGACCGACTGCAAATGTGGTGGACGTCCGTTGATGGAAGCAAGGTTCCTAAATCGATTCACGAGATCAAGGGAGACGGCCGTTGGAAACTCAAACCTTGGCGTCAAATCCCCACTACACCAGAGAATGACGCTTGCGTCAGTGCCGATCTTGTTTCAGGACTTTTAGACCAACGTGATATTGCCCGTCGTGAAAAGGACTTTCGTACGGCCGATGCCTTGTTGGAGGAGGCCCGTACCTGCCCAGATGGCGATTTGAATCTTCGCATTCACGATGAGAGCCGTACTTGGAGAGTCTGGACTGAAGCACCTCCTATGTTCCCCGTGCAACATCGTGAAGAGCGAGATCCCCAGGAGACGCGCATGTCGGCGGCCGAGCAGTGCATGAGCATTGTCGAAGAACATGCCCCGCACAAAATTGATGAAATCAAGAATGTCTTGGAAAAGTTCAAAGGAAGAGAATTTCAAGTCCTCAAGCGTCTGAAAAATCAATATGAAACATAAAGTAAAAGCATCAGTACATTTTAGAGCCTTCACCTGTTGCAATGTGATTGTCAAAAAATAACTAAATTATTAGGCTACACAATTTCCGGACTGGAATATTGCGGTTTTCCATCGGTATTCACTGGGGCCAAGTAGGGATGGTCCTCCAACTCTTCTGGATACGGAATGTCTTCCTCGTCTTCGTATGGATAATAAGTGCAGCAAGTGGCACACATTTCTGTACTCCTCGGCGCTTCACCCTGTCTAAGTGGATGATACCTGACTTCACCGAACATTGGTATCGTGGTAACCCCCTTCCCCTGGACGCTGGTCCAGCCCATGGATTGCCATCGTAATTTTTGTGGATGAACGGCTGCTTGTCCTCCGTACAAAAGTAATTGCGAGTGTTCGTCCCGACTCACCGCCCAAGCTCCCATGCCCAGCAGTGCCATGATCACTGGTGCCACCACTACAATGAAGAATCTAGTATAGAGCTCGATCGGCTTGGCCAGAGGCATAACTTCCTCAAAGACAAAGACCAAAAGAATTCCCAAGACTGCTGCTGCCGAGTATAACTTGCCGGCAACCAGTTGTGATTCTGTCAATTTGTAGTAACCAACATGGTGTCCATAGACAATGTATACCAAAGTTGCAGATCCAATTAAAAGGACTGCAACGATGGGAGAGATGATGGATTTCCATCGAATTGTGTCAACTCCATGGTCTACCTTGAGACAAGCCATGATCATGGAGCACAAAGTTAGCATCCAGCAAACTACCCGGAGGGGATGTTGCGACTTGCATATTATTCCATCCAAAACTCCAACCACAACAATGATCCAAAAGGGTGTAAAAACTGTGGACAACGGCATGGATCCCTTTGACAACCGAATGTAAATGAGAATTTCAAAAATGAAAACACCAGTGGATATCAAGCCAGTTTTGACACCAAATTTCAGCGATCTTTGTAGCAACGGTAGGTATTCTGTTCGATCCAGGTGATCTCTGGAATCCGCTCGCTGCCGACTGTCGTTGGCGTCTCCAATGAACACCGATAGAGCCTTTGCAGATTGAACGTGACACCAAACAAGGCCTAAATGTGATAGCCAGGAGGGAAGTAGAATGAACCAATACGGTAAAAAGCTCATCAGTTCAGTCCATCGTGCTGCTGCAAACAGAATAGTTAAGGCAAACCCAATGGAAACAACCAACTAAAAGGGAAGGGAAAGAGAGGACATGTGTGAGAATCACTAGCACCAATCAACATGCGCAAAAATACTAGATCAACACATTGCGTACCCATGTTTTGACGAGTGGTTTGAGCACTGATAGCGCTCCTTTACGGACTGCATAAACGTGTTCTGGAACCTCCAAAAAAGGTGGATGGTCCTCATCCGAACTCCCACTCCCCGTAGGACTTTGCTGTCTTTTGACAGAGTGAACTGATCGACTTCCAGGCGTATAATGGTTCGAACCTTTGGAGGATCCCACAGAGGTATCGTTGGATCGGTTGGAAGGATCTGTCACAATCTGATAGGAATCAAAGTCGCCATCGACTGGCTCTTGCGATTGGTCCATTGGATCCCTCGAAAGATGTGGTGATCGACTTGTGCGTCGTCTTGATCTAGTAGAATCCCCTTGAGTGGAATGTAAATAAGATGGAGCAGAGGCCTCCAGCAATGGGTCCGTCTCTCTGGCTGGCTTATCTGTTGCTCCTCCTTTTTTGTAGCTTGACTGTTGTCTCATGTCCTTCCCAGCTCTGGGAGGAGATTACCTTATTGTTGCAGAGGTTGTCCAAGAGATTGGATGAAAGAATGAAAGGGTTTGTGCTGAATTGATTGCTCTTCCGTTGATCTTCCAATAATCCTGTTGAGGTGGCTCTGATCTATGCCCCAGACAGCATTCGACCAACGCCGGCCCGCGCGTTTAGTGGCGATGTTTTGAATCGACTATTCGTATTAGTCGAGTGTTGCGTCGACTAATTGGACTCAAATTGATGTCACCAATCTACGTGCGTGTTTTGATGAGATCCAACAGCCATCAGTGATGAGTGATCGGCTTGGCCTTCAAATCAATCCGCTAACTCAATCAAACAACAAACAAAGACGAACCATGAAGATCAGTCCAATTGCCCTGGCTCTTACCGCCCTTGCGGCTGCTCCAATGGGAGATGCCTTTGCTCCTTCTCCAATGAACTCCAAGGTTGTGGTGAGTGCAATTATCTTGCTTCTAGCAACCAACCTCTGATGCTTGCAACACAATTTAAAATGCTGACATTTTGCCACTTTTATTTGTCACTCAAATAAAGAGCCTTACTTCCACCAGTGCCGTTCAGCCTGTCTTCCGTGCTCCTTTGGAGCTCAAGGCCTCCACCAGTGCCATTTCCATGTCGGTGAGTTAGATTTTGAGTGTGGCTTCATGCCATGATGTTCCAGTCTTTTGTCCGACAACGGCTATATGCGAAGATTTAAATTTGGGTTTCTCATTATCATTCAACCCAAAATATTTAGGAGGAAGCTGCTCCTGAACCAGTGCCGGAAAAGAGCCTCGCCAAGAAGATCTTTGATGGATATGTCAAAGCTGCCGATGTCGCTACCCAACTATTCCCTGTCTGGACTGTCTTGTTCACTGGAATTGCTTTGAAGTCTCCCTCTTCTTTCGCTTGGTTCACCACTGAATACTTCACTGCTGCCCTGGCCGCTCTGATGCTTTCCATGGGTATCACTTTGACGCCACAAGATTTCATTGACGTTTCCAAGGAACCAGCTGCCGTTGGTATGCAATTCACTTTGTGTTATGCCATCATGCCTCTCTTGGCTCTTGGACTCGGAAAGGCATTCAAGTTTAATCCTGCTCTTCTTGCCGGTATGGTGTTGGTCGGATCCATCAATGGAGGACAGGCTTCTAACCTTTGTACTTACATTGCTAAGGGAAATGTTGCTCTTTCCGTTCTCATGACCACTGCTACAACATTGGGTGCCATCTTTATGACTCCTTTCCTATGCAAGTCTCTTTTGGGAGCCGTTGTTCCCGTCGATGCTGCTGGTATTGCCAAGTCTACGGTTGAAGTGAGTATATTTGTTGTAGGATGGAGTTTTCTCATTGGTCGTATTTTGGAGCGCCAGCTGACCCCAACTATTCCATCTCTGCTAAATCTCTTCAGGTTGTCTTGGCTCCCATTGCCGTCGGTATGACTACAAACAAATTCTTCCCCAAGCTCGTCAAGGCTATCCTTCCATTCGCCCCAATTGTTGGTGTTGTTTCCACCTGTCTATTGGTCGCCAGTGCCGTCGCCCAAGTTGCTGAACCCATCATCAATGCCGGATGGTCGTTGCAATTTGCCTGCATCCTTCTTCACTTGATTGGAGGACTTTTAGGATACTTCCTTCCCAAGCTCACTGGATTCGGAGAGGTCTCTTCCCGCACCATGGCTATTGAGACTTCCATGAAGTCTTCTGCTTTCGGATTCTTGTTGGCCAAGCTCCATCTTGGTGAATATGCTGCACGTGTTCCTAGTGCTGTCAGTGTTGTTTGGATGGCCTTGACCGGATCCATCTTGGCGGTGATCTGGAGACAAATCCCCGTCAAGGAAGGCGAGTAAACACTCTGCCTCGACTACTGGAAAACCAACGCAACACGAGATTAGTTTGAATGGTCGCTGATCTCGGTTTCCCATTTTCATTTTCGTTATGTTCACGTGGATCTGTTAGGTCCTATATTCTGATTGATTGTATTTCAAAATCCAACCTTGCTTTGCGACCACATATAAAATCTATTAGAGAGGGGGTTTAGACGCTACGTATTTGTGAATTAATTGACACCTGAGCCAGTTTCATCTTTGATTGTATGTGATACTCCAGAAATTTTTAATTAGGTGCTCGAACAGTCCCTAATGCGTGCGGGGGACAGGCGAAAAAATCGAAGATACCACCTTGAACCTTGATGATGGATCATTGACACCTTCATTCCTTCTCTCGCTTCACTGGCCAACACTTGACCATGATAAGGCTCTGGGATCCCTCTACCCTGCGCATCAATACGGTTTGTGTAATGCTAATGTTGGCTGCATCCTCGCTGATTGGGGTAGAAAGCAGTTCATGGAATCATCCAGATTTGACAGATGTACATACATCCTCTTGTCGTTACCAACATCGTGAGATAATGGACTTGTCTATACTTTACCGAGGTGGATCAGATCAGCCAATGGACGAATCACAGATCCCCCGAAGAAAAAAGTTCTTTCGAAAAAAGAGAGGCAAATTGAATATCAGGCTTGGGAGACCCGAAAGGAATGATCAAACTTATTCTTATGATGAAACCAAATCATTCTCACTTCCAATGTCAGGGGCTCAAAGCAAAGCACCCGCCACAAATGCAACATCCCAGTTTGGCGTCAAGGAGGATGATTCAAATAAAGATAGCCACACCGAGGTGGAACTCTCCATGGATGTCTTTGCGCTGCTACGACTTGCCCAGCATCTTGGAGGAGCAAGTCAAGTTGCCTTTGCTGCAGTGTTCGCCACGCTAAAAATGTTGGGACCAATGGTGATGGCACAAAAGTGTTTCGAATGGCTGGGCGGCTGCAAAGGCTACGACCACCTCACTGATCTAAAAGCAGTCGAGAAGCCCACTACGCGAATGGAAAAGTATGGCATTTTGGAAGGCATTCGGGCGATCGGGAGAGTAGCTGTTCGGTTTTCTGGAATGTATCTATTTGGAATACTTTGCACGTTGGTTTTATCTGCATCATCATGTGCGATGCCTGAACAGCTTTGCAAGTACTGGTATGCCTTGGTATGGACGCTAGGAGTGAAATCTATTGCGCATGCCAATGAACTGCTGGTAAGACACGAAAGAAAGTGAAGAATACTTGACTATCGGTTTTCAAAGCACTGATCTCATCTTCCCTTGTATCGTTTCTTTGACATAAATCTATAGTTCCTGAGGTACTTTGGTGGGCTCTTTGAATTGCGGCCCGAACGCAACTACTTTCCGTTGCTACCGCCAGCTCGTCTTTTCAAGATTCCGTCGCCCACGATCCGATGGGTGTACCTCTTTTTTGGCGTGGTAGACAATGTACTCAAGGTGTATTCGGATGAGGACTCCACGTCGAGCCAAGTGATTGGTCCATTGTTTCCGTCGACTTGGCCATATTTGCAACTGTTTAACATTTTCGCTATGTTCCGCGTGATGAAACAAAGTCTCCCTGAAAGTCCAAAGGCAGTACTGATCGGATTCTGCTTACAGAGTGCCGTATATGAGGAATGGTTCCGGGTCTTTCTTGAGGAACGTCGCGTAGCATTGGGCGCTATCATGAGTATGACATCCCTCCTGGTAACAACTTTTTTCATATATTCGACTGCAGCCATCGACAAACTAGCCACAGGCTTGTTGCTACCGTTTGGACTTGCCAGTGTGGTTGCCACATGGATGAGTTTTGTGTTGTGTGGTAGAGAGTTTTCACCCGTGGAACGCTCGCAGCGACCGCGAGCATTCGGATCAAGTAATTTAAAAGCGACACCCATGATTGGAATTTGATTCCACTAGATTGAGTACAAAAATGTGGGTGCTACAGTATGAGTTTCTTGAGGATCTTCCGTATCATCACCTTTTCAAAATATCTGAAACAGCGGATGGATCATGCACCCTTGCCTATGAAATCGATGACTTCTCGCTTTTGGTTCCATACCAAAAGCCGTGGTGGTGACAAAATTCAAGCCACTGTTTCCAGACTTCATCTTGTTCCATCATAGCAGGGTCTCCCACTACCACCAAGAGATTTTCGGCTCTTGTCAGTGCTACATTCATTCGTTTCGTTTGTTGGAAAAGTCCGACTCTCTGCTCCATATCAGCATTGAGAAATGCACTGTTGGATCGTGTCAACGACACTATGATGACATCGCGTTCCACAGCTTGGTAATCTTCGACAATTCCAACATTGACGGCGCCCAAACCTTTCGCTCGCAACAGGCGTCGAATCAAGATTACTTGTCCGCGAAAGGCGCCCATGATGCCAATGGAAGCTGTTGATATTCCCTCCGTAACCAGAGTTTGAACAATTCCTACAATCTCGTTTGCTTCTACAGGATTGGACCAGGAGTTGGATCCCAAAAAGGTTTCCACGGCAGTGGATTGGTCCTTTCCCACAACACCTCGAAAGTGTATGGGCCAAGAGTCTTGCTTCTCCGCTTTTGGATTCACAATGGATGAAGCAGCTTCAAGCTTTCGCAAAGCATTGCACCATTTGCTGTCCGTCGAATCCGAAAAGGGGTGTGCGCTACGGAGCTTGTCGAAATAAAACAGTTTACTTGGCATCATCAAGAAAGATGGATGACTGTTCGAGATGAAAGAAAAAAACCATTCATTAGGACCAGCAATCTTAAGACGAAGAAAGGAGATCCATTCTCGATTACTTACCCTCGGTAACTAGTCGTCAAAAAGACAGACAGATGATCATGATCCTCCTTCTTTTGAAAGGAATATTCAATGAGTTCACCAATGGACGTCCAACTTTCTCCAGTTGGAGGTCCCATCATGTGAGATCGACCACCGATTTCAGGCAGTCGTAGCAATCGCTCCAACAAGGATTTTTGTAAGTCCCCTGCTGCCAGTGGCGAATAGACGTCGGGACTGAGCTGTCGCGGATCTCCGGCGAGAGCAATTTCGACTTTGATGGCACTTGGAAAGTCGTCTACCACTACGGAGATTGGAATGAGGCTTTCGGGCTCTGTTGCTTGGGCGGCCTCGTCGATAAAGAGATGAGTAAAGTGTGGATCTCCCGCACCAACAATTTCACCAGAAATTTGCATGTTTCCCGCTTGCAAGATTGTAAGCGCATACTCTTGCAACTGTTGGCGCCGCATCCGCAACCGAGAATTGGTCAAACCTGCCAGGGTCAGAATGTGCGCATCACTACAGGTACAAACAATGACTTCAAAGGCCAGCAACTCTTGGGTAGGAGGCAAGATAAACTCTGTTTCATCATTGGGTTTCATTCGAACATATGGAAGCAATTCGGCTGGCACCATTTCTATTGAGCGCTACAAGAATGAATGAACGAATCAATCGCAAAGAGGAGTAAAGGAATGAGCTATCGCACCAGCACTGCAACTTTGACTCGAGCACTTGATTCCCACCCCCAATGAAAACTTACACTGGACGGATACAGTCGAAATAATTGTTGGGCGCTGAGCGACTTGGACAACCGCCTTGTAATGACGTCGCAGGCAGTATGACTGGGAGCACATACCAAAATATGTTTCTTGGGTAGTCGCTGTGGATGATTTGTAGTGCTGTTGTCACCGTTGCCGTTTTGAATACTAGCAGCAGTAGTAGTAGCATCTTGTTGCTGTAGTGTTCGAATGATACTGGTCAAAAGTGCCTTGGTTTTGCCGGTTCCAGCCGGACCTGTCAATATCATTGGCGGCCGCACAATTCCTCTGCTGGGGTATCGTGTTCGTTTGAGTACCATATGTACAAATCGCGATTGCTTTTCATTCAATTTGGGACCAACAGGAGCAGCAACAGCAGCAATTGTTGTTGTTGGAGCATCGGTTCCATTTACAGTAGGAATAGTAGTAGAAATCTTCTTGTTGCTGTTGCTGTTGCTATTGTTGCTGTTGCTGTCAGCCACATCGGTCGGTGCATGGGCCAACATCAAGTCGTTCATATCACCATCATTTCCCGCTGCAATGGGCAAATGAGGTATTTCGGTCGGAAACAAGAGTTGTTGGGCCACTGCCGGATGCAAGCGTTCAATCCACTTGAGGGCTTCCAAAGTTCGTTGTAAAGTAATGGTAGAGGGCAAAAAGCGCACACTGACCAACTGGTGATTCAATTGCAACATCTGATTAAAATGTGGTTCCAACCAAGTAATCACCACCTTGTCGTCTGTCATTTTGGCCTTTTGTTGTTTGCCTTTATTTTTCCAGGTTCCGCGAACAACATTTACCACTTGAGCATGAACTTCCACCATGGGAGAGTTCGCCATGTTCATGGTGGTTTCGTGGTTGCTGTAGTAGTAACTATTGGTAGCAGGACCACCACCAACACCACCACCACCATTGGCCTGCAATTGTTTCACAGCTCTCAATGGTTGCGGGCGCAGCAAGACTTCGTCTCCTGGTTCCAGTGAAGGTCGGGTATTGGACAGCCCCGGAATATGAAGAGTGGCCCGAGCAGCAGCTTTGGGATGCACATTGACAGTCGATTGAAATTGTGTGTATCGTTCGTAGAGCATCATCTTTTCTTCAAATTCTTCCTGGAGCAAAAGGCGAAATGTATGCAAGTAGTCATTTCTCCCTTTGGCATTTTCTAGCTTGGGAATGATGTATCTTGCAGCATGTTGCTGTTGCTGTTGTTGCTCTGTAGGCTGTACTGTTATTGTTTCTGTTGGTGGCGGCGTTTGAGTAGTAGTAGTAATAGCAGCAGCAGTAGTAGTAGACTTTGACGACGACGACGACAACAACAGCAAGGATCGCCGTTGCTTTACTTCTGGCCTCAAAGCAAAAAATGGATCCAAAGGCACCATGGCCACTTCTCGAGTGGGAAGTGGTAGTACTGGGGGTTGTGGTATTTGAAACGGATGTGGGACCATTTCGTAATAGGTCCGATTGCAATGATCCAACATATCTGGCAGTTTCCTGGCTTGATAACCATGTTGAACTGGTAAATACAAGACCTCCTTTAGGTATTCTGGGACATAGTTGGAAGCCAAGATGGTTGAGTCGGCAAGTTTTGTATTGCCCAATGATTGATTTTGTGTTTGTGGTTTCTGCGCTTCTGATTGCTGCTGCTGCTGCTGCTGCTGCTGATTATGCTGCTGATTATGATCGTCCCCACTCGACTTTGACGCGGCTGCAGCATAGCTAGCAGGTATTATCGTTTTTACTTCCACTTTGGTTGGGACTGTTTCTTTTTCAACATTGACATTGGTATTGGTATTGTCACTAGTATTGACATTGGTAGTTGTGGCAGTGGCAGTGGAAGTGGAAGTGTTAGCCGCCGACCTTGTTTTGGTGGTGGTTGCAGCATTGGCACCTGTCATATTTCTAGCATTTGCTGGTCTCTGGGAGCCTCCAGTTGAAACCTTAATGGACGGTTGGTTTGTTGTTCGTTGTGCATTTTGATTTTGCTTCCGTCTGCCTCCTCGATTATTCGTCGCAGCATTGTAATTGGAAGCAGTAGTATTAGCATTCTTGTTGTTGTTGTTGTTGTTGTTGTTGTTGTTGTTGTTGTTGTTGTTGCCATCAGTGTTGTTGCTTCCACGAGAACCTCCTCCTCTTCGTTTACCGCCTCCTCCTCCTCCTCCATTAGACCACTCTTTCGCCATCTTATCGTAGGATTGCCAGTCCAATTAGATGATGACGAATGAGAAAAGGCTCTTTGGCTGTTGGATTCTAACTCATTCGACGGCTATTTTTATATTGTTTTGGTTCTTGTTGAGCTTCCGCTTGTAGTGGCGGAACTGAGCCGACTAGTTGGACTCACGAAACGATGCTTTTAAAAGACTTTGAGAGTACCAGGAATCCCGTAGATCCTACACGGCCATTCACTCAAGCAAGACTGAGAAAAACAAGAAGAACAACAACCTTCTATCTCTATCAATATATCAATTCAATCCAATTCAATCCAATTCAATCCAATTCAATCCAATTCAATCCAATCCAATCCAATCAACAGTATCATCAATCAGTAACAATGGCATTAATGGAACACGACGACGAAGACGAAGAAGAGATTCATCTCTACGAATCCTCGCGAGAACGACAATCCTACGATGACCAAGGCACCTTGTATGGAATCATTCTCGCCACGGAACATTTGGAGCGAAGTTATGCCCGAGACGCCATCACCAATTCCGAATACACTGCCGAATGCAACAAATTAATATCCCAATTCCGATTGGCGGAAAAGGCGGTCCTGGGCAGCGACAATAACATTCGATCGACGGAAGAGTTTATGAAACTCTACGAAATGGATTGTCCGCGGGCCGACGAACGATTGTTGAAGATGGGAGTCCCGGAACCCATTCGAAATACTTCTACGGAATCGGCAGGAGTGGCCGTCACGGTCGCCGAAGCGGTCCAACATTTCATTACGATTATGGATGCGGTCAAGTTGGAACAGCGGGCGGTGGACGACTTGCAACCCCTGCTCAGTGATTTGATGGATTCTCTCGCGAGACTACCGGAAACACCCAACGATTTTGAACCCAATCGCAAGGTGAAACATTGGTTGCAAAAGCTGAATTCGATGCGAGCCTTTGATGAAATTGATGATGACGATTCACGGCAGCTCTATCACGATTTGGACAGTGCGTATGCAGAATTTACACGGTATCTAAAGAGCGGTAGGTAGGGTGGTACAGCTAGTCAGTCTCTCTACATATATGCTGTAGGTACAGTAGTGTACATAATAGGAATTACAGTCTACTGTTATTGTCGTAGTTTTCTTGATCAAAATATAGTATCACTTTCATTGCTCGTTGTATAGCGTCTTCAAGCCAGCAGAAATCCGCCTCATCTATATCATCATCGATAGTGCTGCATGATAAAGGTAGCCAGATTGGGCAGCATCAAACGGTTCGATGCAATCTCAATCATTTCCAATAATGTTTCGGTCGTGGCGGCAATTTTCAAATGGAAAGATTGAATTGAATTGTATTCTTCTCGTAGTGTACAGCATGTATCTCGAAACAGCAGTCTCGGTGGTAGCCAAGGAACGTGTATCTCTAGCAAAGCAACCATCATGATTTGATTCTCAGGCTTTTCATGCATGTTGTACTTGAATGTTTCCATTTCTAAATGTTCCTGCTGCCCTGAATGAATGACTGACTAACTGACTGGCTGGCTGGTGTCCAGCATGATGATGGTGGCCCGCTATTGCAAAAAGCTAGAGTGTGATACAACAATTTACAGCTCCTCCACACCAGCATAGTCCACAGTCTTCAAAAAGAGATTGATTCGTCGTTGTAACTTCTTCATGGGCGGGGATATCAGACTCTCAATAAAGTATCCATCGGAACTAATGACAAAAAAGGAGGCTCGGTCCGTATGAAGATCCAATTGCTCCAATTCGTCCAAATGATTTGTAACAACTGCCCCAGCATCAGGCTTGATGGAGGTGAGATACTGGACAAAGGGATTCGTCAGCACTGCCATGGGCGATTCTTCTTCCAACACCACCACACCGGGTTTCTTGCGCAGTTTGATGTGAATGGTCTCTCCCAAATCAATCGGAATCAAGATAAATTCCACGTGTGGTTTGTACTGTTTGTGCAAGGTTTCCATCATTTCGTAATAATACGGAGCCATTCCTGGTAACATGGGAACCGTGGCTACCACCGTCACACACCCATCCCACCGATCCGTCGCCACGCGTTTGCCCTGAATCGTTCGGACAGTTTCGGTAGATTCCCACCACAGCTCGTCATCCCCCTTGGGCGACTTGCCGACCATACCTGGAACTTCCAACATGGCCGCACAAGTCTTGGGGCACTGAAGGAAAATGTGACCAAAGAATGGCGACTGACAATGACTCGCCATTTGTTGGCAATCCTTGCGGATGTCCGTATCAAAGGGAGCGACCTTGCCACGGTCTTCTTCGGCTGAAAAAACAACCTCGAGAATACCCAAGCATAGGAAGGTAAAAATTAATGTTGGGGTAAGGATGTTCTTCATGCTAGCATGGTTGGTAATGTATGGAATTATTGTGTTTGTATTTTGATGTATGGTTTTGGAAATGTGTCGACGCAACGATTTTTCTTCCACGACGTCGACTCATCCGAATCAATCAACTCAGTCGACGACGCCCTCATTCTCATTTTCTAGATCCTTCCATCGAATCGATCATCAATCAATCGCATAAACAAATACACTGCAATGTTCAGACAATCTACTAGTCGAACGGTGTTCCAAAGCCTGGGAATGTCACTGCTTTTATTCTGCGGTTCCTTATCATCATCATCATTATTATTTTTCCACAAAAACAACGTCTTCGCAAGTGCTGCTGGTGCTTCCGGAACGCAAAAGTTCAAGCGTGACATTGGCGATGATTGCAGTGATCTCACATCAGAAGCCTGCATTCGAGAAATAATCACCATTCAAAAATGTCCCATTGCCTGTTCGGAACTTTTGGAAGAACCTGGAACCATTGCCAGAACATCCGACAGTGAGATTTATCAACAACGAGTCACCAAGCAAGATGGCAAACAAATTACCTTGGAAGAATACGAGGGATACATTACCCTCTTTGTAGTCATTCCGCTTGTACCCAATGCCCAATATTATTACGAACTGGTGGAGCACGTGCACGAGATCTTTCCCTTCACGGTCGAAATTATGATTCTTCCCATTTCCGTGGTGGACGACAATGAATATGATGCTGCTGAAATCATTCCTCAAGCCAACTCCAAGGTCACCTTTTTAAAACACGAAGAGCGAACAGACTTTATGATATATCTTTCGGAATCAGAAGTCTTTGGGGGAGAAGATAACTTGCGCGAATTTGCCAACGATCGGGCATCGATTTACATTATCAGTTCAAATGGACAATTTGTCGAGCGCATGGTGGCTCCCAAGCTTATTGATTTGGAAAAGCGCATCATTGTGTACTTGCAACAATTGGATCCAACCTTTTTGGAACTGTAGCGAACTGTACATTTTAATAATACCTTTGGCGACATGGTAAAGCAACGGCTCAGTCGACTCGAACATTCTTGTACTGGACTATGAATGTGGGGTGCCAGTCGAACAGCTTCCCCGCAAACACTATCTATTCTAGGTTGTAAACACAAACTTCCTTCGTATGAACCAATGCATCAATAAGAATTATTACAATACTAACTAGACTATGTCTCCCCCAGCATTCGCCTCCTCACTTTCGCCATTGTCGACTTGCGGCAATTTGTCGTATTTGGTTCTGGCCCATATTCGACGGCCTTTTTCTTCGGGGAGTGGAAGTGGCAAAAACTCGGGTTCTCGACACGACGGAATCAAAAAGGCCAACAAGGGATTCCCACTACCATAGACTTGTTGCCAATTCCGCTTCAGTCCCATGTCATAAGGGTTCTTCCACTTTTTGTTCAATTTGTGGGCCTTGCGTCGGTTGACCCAGTTGCCATGGAATTCAATGGTCGTTTGGCCCGTCAAACAAAGGTACAGATGGAAGCCTCCCAAACACGCCACCGCAATTCCAATGGACAGACACAGCATGAACGACAGAGAAACTTTCAATCGTTCGTCCGAAAAGGGCACCATTGGAAACATGCGAATTCGCTTGTTGGTCTTGCGGAATTGATCTCGTTGGGCTCGATAAATTCGTCCACTGGTATTCAAAAAGGGTTCGTAGGTGATAAAGGCACCGTAAATCATGGCCAATTCGACAAACCACAGAAAGTTGCAAAAGTAGCGATAATTGAAATAGCCAACCACATTGAACATCCAGGGACAGTAGTGATCCAAACACAATACCAATGTTTTAGACACGTGGTCGTAGTGGGCTCGGGGAGGTTTGGGTTGATGGGATCGTGCACAATAACCCCATTCGTCGGGTGCCATGAGCATCCAGCTGCGCAACTTGCTCATGGGTTGTTCGGCGGCTGCCACTTTGTTATTTTTATTATTCGCTGGTGCCATCTTGTTCTTGCGGTGTTTGATATTGTTGGAATCACTATCAGCTCCACCGGTTGCCACCGTCGCTGGAGGTGCTTGCTCTTCTTGCTGTCGCTTATACCGCTGTTTCATGCGAAGGTTCATCTTGTCCGAGGTATCCCGACGATAGGATTCCAATTCCTGGGGGTTCTCTGGAAATTGAAAGTTGGTAGCGTCCGCCAGCTCCCGGACGACTCGATCGTAGTTGGCTCCCTTGTTGCGTGTCACGACACACATGAAGTAATTGAAACTAATCTCCGCCACAAAGAAGACCACAATGGAAGTGTGCAGGGATATCATAATGGTAGATTCGGGATTATCGCCATACTTGTGCTCCAGCATTGGCATGATTATTGTAAAGTACGTATAGGACAAGCCTCCAATAATGACAGACGCAAAGGTAATCAGCATTGGACCCAAAACAAGGACTGCTTTTTCAATAAAGACAGTTCCAATGTGTATCAGGGCGTCCGTGCCATCGCCTGGAAAATAGAAGCGTTCACCACATATGACAAAGGATCTCCGGGGTGTATTATTAGAAGGTTGTGACTGAGATGAAGCGGGCATGATCGCTACTTGTTTTGCCCTCTTTTCGACTCAATTCCAAGACTTGTCTCAATCTTGATAGTGAAGTACCTGGTACTGTATCCGTTTGACTTTCGGTCATGCCGCATTGCAACTCACCAGATGGTGGTCGGACTTGTCGATTTTACTAATCTGGGAATCGAAGTCTGCCTGTCCGTCACTCTAGTCGTTTGGATCGTTTCTAGTCTAGTCATTTTTTTTGGACATTATTACAGAGCAGGTACCGGTACGGTACCAGGTACCAATACTGTCTACCGGTACCTATTGATCGTCGAGTGAGAATTCACATACCTGGTACTGGTACCAAGTAGCTTGTGGAATTTCAAAACCGATTATGGTCATTACCGGAGACTACATTTGCTGAAGATCAAGATTGATCGTAAAATTGCGGCTATGAATCAACAAGAGGCATACCGAACGGTACGACCTTACTTCTACTGTAGGAGCTTTTACCGGTAGCTCTTGTTGGAATTTCAAAGCCGGTTGTGGTCTTTGAAATTTCACCTATTAGTGAAGCGGAATTCCCTCTCTCCTAGTATTCTACCGATAGTGAAGCAGAAGACCCTCTTTAGTATTCTAGTGAAGCAGAAGACCCTCTCTAGTATTCTGTTTCTGAGGTGACAAGGTTGCCGAGTGCTTACATTTGCCAGGAAGCGAAGGCAAAATAGTACTTGGATAGCGTTTCTAATGAATCGTGAAACTTCCGACGCCACATCGACACTGTGTTTCGCCACGTCATGTAGGCTCTCCGCCAATCAAATCTGTCAGACATTTTTCACCAATGGAATGTCTGGATCTCATCCCACGTTTTCTCGTTTGAGACGGACAAAAAAAACGTGTAGGAAACGTAGGAAGATTCACCACCGCTTGTTGCCGATTTCCTTCTCTGCCGTTTCCTTCTCTTCAAGGTCGCATAATTTTGACAGTTGTTCTTTATTTATTACAGATCATCATGTTTGCCCTTTCTTCCAGAGTTATCCCTTCCACTGTTGCACGGTAAGTCCTTGTTTGGGTCAGCCATGAAATGACCAAAAGTCTGCGACGACGGACGTGAATTCTGTCGGCAGTTTTGAAAATGACGTTTCTCACTTCATGTCGTCGTTCGCTGTTTTCTCTTTTACAGTGCCTCTCGCAGAACGTACTCCAATGAGGTTGCCAACACCATCCGCAATGAAAAGGTCTGGTTCGGAGATATCTCCACCTACCCTATCATGGCCATCTGTGGAGGAGCCTGCATCGGTGCTGGAGCTTACATTGCCTACAAATTCCAATCTTCCCCTGATGTCCGTTGGTCCAAGGAGAAGCGTGGATCTGAGATCCGCTGGTGGGGTGATGACAAGCAATCCCTTCGATTGAACAAGTAAAATGATTGTTCTGGAAGCTATATGGATGATTGGTGCTACAAGTAGAGAATTCCCATTTTAATAAATGGACTCTTTTCTTCTCAACACACACACACACACACACACACACACACACAAGTTTGACGAAATCGTGTTCGTTTCTACCACAACGACGAATCTGTACAATTTAGTGTGTTATAGCTTTGCTGTTGTTGTGAAGTGACTGTGTTTTATTGTGCTGCATTGCATCGAAGAATAGGTTGCAGTAGAGCATTCATTGTTTGTTTGTTTGTTTGTTTGACAGATGAAACGTATGAATCATCTTCATTTCATCCTATCGTTCGATTTGCTTCAACACGTGTCCTCCACCTTCAGTGTCAAATAGTCTTTCTTCCATTGAATTGTCCGTGCCTAGATCATTGTCGCTCAGTATTCGTTTCGACTGATGTGATTGACGCCGGGAGGATATTGGCACGAAAATCCCCACAGGTAAATCCCCAAGAATATTGTGTGTTGGTCCAATTATTCTCGTAGTTTGTTTAAAATATACGATATTGCTCTTACCAATTCTCCGAGATGCACAATAAAGTTTCGATTAGCGATATTAAACAATTTTAGCTGTTACACATGGAGCTATCTAGCTATCAAGACCAGTCATAGTTTTTATGCGGGTCCTACCGAGCCCTCGTTCAAAGCTCCTCCCAGAACGTCCAGGTATAGCTTCAGATCATCCGATCCAATCCCCAGATTTAGCCGAATGGCATCAAAGGCAAAGAATTGCATGCTAACAATCAAGGGATAAAATGCCATACGAACAGGCAAACCCCGGAAAAACATTGCATATCCTCCCTTGTCTATCAGGCTCTTCACTGCTTCAATGGGTCCAACTTTGGTTTGAGATTTCTTCATCTCACTGATAGTGGCATCCCCTGGGTTACTCACAATGGCTGCAAAGAGTCCACCTGTCATCCCACTTACCAAACTGACCCCCAGGGACAGTTTGATGTCTTCTTGCGCTGCAGGGAATGCGTCGTAGAGTACATTTGATACCAGTGAAAAGATCAAGAACTTTGCTGTGTTAAAGGGAATCTCCTTGGCCAACATGGGTGGGACAGCACTAAACAATGATGACACGCCGTCCTCTTTCACCATTCTGGCTGTCACGTCGAACAAGTTGGTACCATAGTCTGGCTGTGAAACTGATCGAATGCGGATCGATTCAAAGGGGCAAATGATGAAGGTACTGAATGCAGCACCAATTGCTGAAGACAACAGAATGATTGGAACCTCCAATGTTCGTGCCTCGGGGCCTAGTGCGTCGACAAAGTATCGACGGAGCAACTCTGTCGTCGAATATGAGGCGCTTCCCCAAAAGAAGAAGCCAACAAAAGTGGGTGCCCATCCAGCAAAGAACCCCTCTATGCCACCTTCCTTGGCCAACTTTTTGAACGCTCGTATCACCCCCGGGTAGTTTTCCGGGTCAGTTTGGAGCTTGGTCTTGACAACATCAAGCTAAGGAGAGCAAAAGCAGTGATTAGTTAGTTGATTGAATGGTGTACAGTGTACAATATCGCAAGTCATCACTTACAGGCGTTAGCAAAAAATGCGCTCCCGAGGCACAAATGGCTCCCGACAAGGAGAATCGAAGAAAGCTGGATAGATTCAAAGTCACATCTCGTTCAATCGGGGATCTACCCCGTGGTCCAAATTCTGGATCTAATGGACGGTTCGATGTTCCCACTAACGAACCCTTGTTGATTTCCAAAAAGTCAGTATCGGCGGACAAGACGAATCGACGAAGAGATTGGTCATATTCTAGTCCAATTCCAGCTGGAATGAGGGTCAAGAGTTGCGCAGACGACGAAGAAGGACCGCCATTCCAAAATGCAGGAATCTTCATCTGACTGTCCGCTCCTGCACTGACAGCATTGACAATTCGCTTTTGGACCACCTTGGCCTCCGCGTCCACCGCTTCTCGTGCGTCAATTTCGTTACGGAATTCACTAAAACTACTCGTCTCAGCCTGTGCCTTTGCACACGCTACCACCGGTCGATCGTAACACGCTCGGCCAATGCATCCTCCAGCTCCACCGACACCTTCATTCTTGGCCACCTTGCCAACATTAGAAGTCAATGAATTGGGGTCGTTAGGTTCAAGAATTAGCTTTTTCAGTTTGGGGTCCAAGGACTTGGGGAGTGGCTGACTTCTGTCAATGATTCTGGCTTCGTATGGGTCATTCAAGTTGACCTTGGCAGTCGCTGGTGGTGGTTCAACGTAGATTGGTATATTTGTCTCAATGGCATATCCCGAACCTCCGTCCACAACCTCAATACTTGCCACTTCCAGTTCCATCACCGTGTTTGCAGTTGCAGTAACACCTCCATTTTCTGGTGACAGCTCAGGTGGACTGATGGTGACTCGAATCCGTTCTCCCTCTTTGTAACCCTCCCCTTGATCAACCAAATTAAAGCGTTCAATTTTGCCCTTGTTGGGTCCATTTTTGAAAATGTACGCTTTGGCTGTAGCGGCCTTTCCTTTGGGAACATCGCTGTCACTGGTAGCTCCTGGTGCCGAGAGCGTAACGGTTGGAGGCTTTTGGTATCCATTTCCTCGATTCCCAACGTCCAATCGCAAAATCTTTCCATTCGGTCGCAATGTCGCTCGACCGGTTGCCGTCTTGAAGTCTGGTCCTGCCTTGGGTGGAGGAAATTCCACATATGGAGAACCATATCCAGGAGCATATCCGCTGCCACCGTCTTCGACTACAACCGATTTAATGGAACCATTGTCAATGGCTGCCAAGAGTTGATTGATTTCTTCGGTTGGCTGATTCTTTTCCATCAATCCAAAGAGTAGAGCGATTTGTCGGCGAGCCTCTTTGATTTCTCGCATTTCCTTCAATTCTTTTAGAATGCAAAACAAAACATGGGAACTTTAGATTCAAATTGAAGGAATTGTGTATTGATTGATTGTCAGTCGAAAAACTGTAGCCTTACCTTGGTCTTCTGTCAGTTTCGTCAACCCCAACTGCTCACGACTCTTTCGCACAGCGGCTAGATCAGGGCAATATCGAGAGACGAGAGACTTCATTAACTTGGCAGGCCCATCACTCCCTCCATATTCTTGAAGCCCGATTTCGACAGATGCGGAAAAGGCACCAAACTGTTTCAGTCTGACTAGTTCCACCTCATCTTTCGATGCCGCCCGGGGAATTTCAGCTGCCTTGGAATACCACCATTTTTGACAATCCAAGTCAAAGACCAACAAAAAGCGGGAAAGATACGTCACAAAGCGTACATTGTAACCAAGCTTTTCCGCATCAAAGACAGTCACTCCAGTTCGCTTGTTGACAGGTGTTGAAATCCAATTCAGTTTGCCAAAACCATCTTTATCGAATTCCTCCTCGGCAAGGGCAGATGCGAAATCTTGTGGTAGATTGGACACGACTGCCGATGATCCCAAAAGGGCGGCTCCCATGAAGAGTCGTCGATTCATGGCCGCGGAGTCATCCTCTTGTTGTTGTTGGTCCGCAAATCTTTGTAATCGCAGAGAGTCATCCGCATCCTCCAATAGACTTTTGGAGTTGATTGGCCCATTCTCGGTATCATCTGGCACGTACTTGGATTTGGATTCTTTGCCGCTCGAATGCAACTGCCAATGGATACTTCGATGAAAATTCTGTTGTTGTGGCAGATGAAAGGCCAGGATGGAAGTTATGGAAAGGAACGAGAATAGGAAGCGTAATATACGTTCGCTTTTTGACGTTGTCATATTGCCGGGTCTCTAGTTCTAGCTGCTATCAAAAGCTTCATGCACAATATGTATAATAGAAGGGATTGAGTCACTTTGAAAACATGACACGACGACAGATCAGATTCAAGATTCAAACATAAAAGACCTCGTGTTGACTTGTCGGAGTTGTCCAACGGCACCCAGGTTCGACCCTTCCGATCAATTGGAAAGTCCGTACGTCATCCTCCAGCATATTTTAGTGTTTTCCATCTCAAATCAACCACCACATCAACCAAAACATACTCTTCATCATTCCATTTTTTGACCATCATCTGTCACCACGATGAGAATGAAACCTAATCGATTCTTTGCGCACCGCAATCTATCGCAATTTATTTCGAGGCGATGCAAAGCTGCGGCTACTGGAACAAGAGCCTTCTCTTCAGCAGTGCAAGTGGACCGTCATCGCCAAAAGAAGGACGAGAGCAAAATTCCCAATGATGGTTTGACTTTGGGAGACTTTGTACACAACAAAGGAAACGTGAGTGGTGATATTACTAGTGAGCGTAGTAATAGTGGATTATCCTTTCACATAAAGACCTATGGTTGTCAAATGAATGTGAGCGATTCCGATATTGTGCGGGCCGTCCTTTTGGAACAAGGATATACGGAAGCCCAAGAGGAGGCCGACGCGGACGTGTGGTTGACCAATACTTGTGCGATTCGTGACAAGGCGGAACAAAAAGTTTGGCAACGTCTGCACACTTTGAAGAAACGAAAATCGTCAAACCAAGTGGTGGGTCTGCTGGGGTGCATGGCGGAACGCCTGCAAGATGAGTTGCTGAAGGAAAACATGGCAGATCTCGTGGTTGGACCAGATGCCTATCGGGATTTGCCGCGGCTCTTGAGAGATTTGACCGATAGTGAAGATCCATTGGAGCAGGCAATCAATGTGCAACTGAGTCTGGAGGAGACCTACCAAGATATTGTCCCAGTCCGCGATGGAAAATCCACGACTTCTGCCTTTGTCAGTATTCAAAGGGGCTGCTCCAACCGATGCTCCTTTTGTATTGTTCCATTCACCAGAGGTCAAGAGCGAAGCCGTCCGGTTGAAAGTATCGTCAATGAAGTGAGGGAGCTGGTGGAAGTCCAGAATATGAAAGAAGTAGTCCTGTTAGGGCAAAATGTCAACTCGTACCATGATCGATCAGAGGCGGCACTCGAAGCACGACCATTCAACACTACACCCAGCCTTTCCAACTCTGGATTTCGCAACCGGCTACGGCGTCCATCGCAAGGTGGATATACCTTTGTGGATTTGGTGGAGGCCATCTCTGACATTTCTCCTGAATTGCGACTGCGTTTTACTTCTCCACACCCCAAAGACTACCCACAAGAACTCCTTCATCTCATGGCAGAACGACCCAATATTTGCAATCAACTTCACATGCCAGCTCAGTCTGGTTCCACTAGTATGTTGAAACGAATGAAACGAGGTTACACTCGAGAGGCCTACTTTGAATTGATTGACTCGGTGCAAACTATTATTCCCGATATAGCACTCTCGTCGGATTTCATTGCTGGATTCTGTGGCGAGACGGAAGAAGAGCATCGAGATACAGTATCTTTGTTGGAACACGTCCAGTACGAACAAGCCTTTTTGTTTGCCTACAGTATGCGCAACAAGACTCATGCTCATCGTACCATGGAGGACAATGTTCCAGCAGATGTGAAATCTCGACGACTCTCGGAAATCATTGATACCTATCGTACCAATGTGCAAATCAAGAATGAGCGGGTGGAACAAGGAAAGCTACGACTGGTCTTGTTGGAGGGAGAAGCCAAACGACAAACCTTTCCAGGAATGACCACTTGGCATGGAAGAACGGACCAAAATAAGGTATGTCACTGCAAACTGGCAACAACAATAACAGCAAATCATACAATCGTCATGTGTCATTGTTCCTTTGTTGTATCTCACATTGTTATTTCATTTTTAATTATAATATTAATAATACAGCGCATCATGTTGCCAATCAACGAATCCATTGGCGCCATTGACGAATCGCACGCTCGTTTGATCCTCCAGCAAAGTTTGGACGGATCGACTACTGGCTTGTTGCCACCACCCAGACAACGATCCAGTGTGACTGCTGGAGATTACGCGGTAGTGCAAGTCACGGACGTCAAGGGTCATACATTGAGAGGAAAACTCTTGTGGAAATCGACTCTTGCTGGATTTGCAGATATGGAATCGAATCATCTATCCAAGATTGGAGACGAGGGCATCGCTAGATTCGAAAGAAGACTGGAGGAAGAGATTGGCATGGATTCTTTGAGCATGGATCAGCAAAGTTTGGTGGTCTAGTAGAAGAATTGGAGTGTTGCATGTTCTTGACAAGAAGTGTTTTAAAAAATCTCGCTCCTATTGCGTGTCAATGAGACTACGGGTATGCATGCTCTATTGCAAGTATAGCTAAAAATCTTCCGTCGCCGCCTTGCCCGATTTCCGATCAATCACGGGCCACCATAGTGGGAGATACGGAAGATACCTCAATTGATTGTCATGATCCCCAATCCGAATCTTGTTGGTGTGACTCCAAACACCATCGCCCAAGAGACCCGCTCGATCCAATCGCATTTGAGCCAACAAGACATTGGTTCCTTCTTCCGCACCTGCTACAATTTGACCAATAGTCTTTCCGTCTTTAACATCATAGATCTTGTCTCCCTTTTTATAATTTTGTACTTCCTGGAACAAGGCTTCACTTTGCTTTCGCAATTCTTCCGTTTCTGGAGTTTGTTCTTGAACCATGTCACCCGACATGATTCCTACCACGCCTCCCGCCGCTGCCGCGGACAATCGGGGAAGTCTTGGCAACATTGATGCTGATGCTGATCCTACTTCCACTCCCTCGGGTGTTTTTCCTAGTTGGACTTGGGAGGCCATGAGCCAGGGTCGTGGAATTTCCATATTCAAATCCGTCAAAAAGAGGGGCAGGATTCGTTTTCGAATGGCACCCGTGTATTGGACCCGGGCCGTCAATTCTTGGCCCAAGTAGCAACCCTTGGCAAAGCTGACGGCATTGAGGAATTCTTGGTTGGATTCTCCTGCCACCTTGCCCAACAGCTCGGTACCTTCGGCGACACCGGCTAATTTGCGAACCAATTGGTAGTTGCCGGGTGCGTTTGGAAAATTCGAAGACATGCTATCTTCAAATTGTTTTGCCTTTTCCGCGTCTAACGAAAGGACTCGCATGCCCAAGGATGGATGCCGGGGATCCATCCCCGCCAAGAATCCCTGAGGTGACGCCGCCGCATTCATGGTCCCAAAGACCACGTGCGCCGAAATTTCGTCCGACTTGTCCACCACCTTGACCTTGGAACGTCTCAAAATGAATTGCTTCAAGTGTCCCATGAGTTGATCGGCCGAATCATTGTCGGGAATATCAATAAGATATTCCGTGTCGTCTATCTTCCACAACAAACTGTCCGTCAATATTCGTCCCTTGTTGTCCAGAAAGCAGGTCGATCGGAGCTTTTCGGAAAATTCGACCATCGGATGTTCCTCTTCTTCTTGTTGTTGTTGCGGCACGGCTGGATCTGGTTCCAATTCTTCTTTTGGTGGAATCGGAGGACTGGTCAAATCGCACGTCACCAACGCTTGCAAGTAATTTGTGGCACCCTTGCCCTTGACGGAGAAAATGCGTCGATTGCGCAAGGTTTCATTTCCTCGACGCCATAGTCGTCCAAAATTACCAGCTAAAGAAGTTACTTTGGAGGATGCCATTTTGTAAATTGTTATCGTTGTCGCGTAAAGTACTGTATGTTTGGGGTCGTCTAATGAATGAGTGTATGTAGGTGAGGTGAAAGTGGTACTTGTGTGTATATCTTTCGTGTGAAATTTTGTGTCGATGATGTGGTCATGGCGGACAATACAAGTACACGTACGGGAGATGTCGGACACTACACTTCTCATCCAATGGAGAAATGGAAGGACGGAGCTTTTGAGGCATTTCAAATTCGTGGCTTGCTCAGTGTGATTTTATTATTTATTATTGGCTCCCATTCCACCTGAACTGCAAATGACACCATCATCACCCACACACAGTACCAAGAAGACTGCTATTACTACTTTAGGTGAAGATCGTCATATGCATTCGTCATACTCACAGTTCCGATGGATCTGTGCGCTAGGAATGGGAATTGCCATTGGCAATGTCGTCATTCCCATGAGTTACATGGAGTTTGCGCCCCATAACAATACCTTTACGCACAATCAGCACATGCGATATTCCGCAGGAACTGTCAGTGACAAATACAAGAACAGCAAGTCTGCAAATACTTGGGAAGAACTGGTGGAACAAAAGCAAATGTTTGCTTCTCAATCGATACCAACTCCAGCGGCTCCTGTGGCCATGGAAACTCCCAAATTGTCGAGCAAGGAACGAAAGAAGATTATGATTACGGGCGGGGCTGGTTTTGTGGGATCCCACTTGGCAGACAAGCTCATGATGGAAGGTCACGAAGTCATCATCTTGGACAACTTTTTTACGGGTCAAAAGACCAACATTGATCATTGGATGAGTCATCCTCATTTTAGTTTGATTGTCGGCGATGTGGTGGATCCCATTCACTTGGAAGTGGACGAAATCTATCACTTGGCCTGTCCCGCGTCACCTCCTCACTATCAATTCAATCCTGTCAAGACCATCAAGACTAGCACGGAAGGAACCATGAACATGCTCGGATTGGCCAAACGGGTTGGAGCCAAGATTCTACTCACATCCACTAGCGAAATCTATGGAGACCCACAAGTGCATCCACAAAAGGAAGACTACTGGGGAAATGTCAATCCAATGGGTCCTAGATCCTGTTACGACGAAGGCAAACGAGTTGCCGAGACCATGATGTATGCCTACAAACACTCCAACAATGTCGATGTCAGAATTGCCCGAATCTTCAACACCTTTGGTCCTAGGATGCATCCCAACGATGGTCGAGTGGTTAGTAACTTTGTCATCCAATCCTTGCAAAACAAACCAATCACCATTTACGGCGAGGGAGAACAAACCAGATCCTTTCAATACGTTTCGGATTTGGTCGATGGGTTGCACGCCTTGATGAATGGAAAGTATGGAGCTCCCGTTAATTTGGGCAATCCGCAAGAATTTACCGTGGCGGAATTTGCCACTACCATTAAAGAAATGACTGCTTCCAAAAGCGAAATTAAAAAATTGGAAAAGACGGCAGACGATCCCAACAAACGCAAACCCGACATTTCCTTGGCCAAGCAAGAGTTGAATTGGGAACCCAAGGTGTCTGTCAAGGAAGGACTGGCCAAAACCATTGAATATTTTCGAATGGTGCTGTTGTCTACCGGAGAAATTATTCCGACGGGGCCTGGAGCCTCCAAACCTCAAAATTAATAAAAACAAACATACCCGCAGACAGAGGCTAATACTCTTGGAAGTAGTAGTACTAATGTAATGTATATTATATATTATAGATCTAGTAGACGAACAAACACAAACGTACACAAAGAACCAATACATAGAAACTGTTTAGAAATACAGTATGTTACTTGCTCCATGGCCATCCTTCTCCGACACGGCCTCGGGGATCTTCGACATCTCTAATGTTCAACCAAGAATCCGCATCCAGTTGTTTCTTGTAACCGGTCATTTCTTGCAATTCCTGAAACCGCCGTTTGCCATCGGCCAAGGCTCGTTGGACTTGAAAGGGATCATTGTCCCTTTGGTTCGAACGAAATTCGTACTTGACTTGTTCTATTAACTCTTCCTTGTTGTGGGGCATTAAATTGACAGCTTTTAAAAAGTCTCGATACAAGGTAACCACGGTAAACTTGTGGACAAATTCCTTGTAGGAGGGAACGGTGCCATCAACAGCGGCGATGCGGCGTTTGCGGCGACGACGTGTAGGTTGTTGCTGTTGCTGCTGCTCTGTATTCTTGGTATGAGTTACTTCGGGAGCCTTGTCTTTCGTGCCGGTAGTGGAAGAAAAGGAGGCGGATTTCATCATTGTGCAAGATGAGGACATCATTGGCAAGCCTTTTGATGATGATGATGATGATTGCAGGATCATGGTTTGCTTTACAAGATGCTGGTTAGCGGACAGTAAGATCTTCTTTCCCCCACTTGATTTGGTGACTGATGAAAGAAAGAGACTCATTTGACTTGAATGTTTCTACTACAACTCTCGCAAAATCGGTACTGCTGTGAGGTAGGTATGGTGATGGCTGCAATGAGGAATGAAGAATGATGTGGTTGAGCGTGACTGGCAGTTTCGTACAGTCAGTCACGAAGTATGGAGTCCTTCCGTCGATCGTCTCATCTCTTCAAAAATGACAACCAACATGTGATGACGACAACATCAAACAACGGCAAGTCCTTTGTTGAAGCTACCGGTACAATACAGTACTTTCCAACCAGCACGGATTACTACAGTTTGAAATAACCTATTTATAGACATAAACTGAATCAATCATGAGTGACTCTACCGATAACAAAGACAACAAGAAGAAGAAGAACAACAACATGGACCAAAACGACAATCCGGATGACACAGTGCCAAGTAGTATGGTGACCACCATGAAGCAACACATTACACCCTATCTACCTCCTCCAGTTGTCGCAGCCATGGCAAAAATTGATCCTCCTCTTGAACCATTTCTTGGACCTGAACCAAGCATGACGCTCATTGGCACCCTTGGCCTTGGTTTTATTGTATGGAAAGTCTTGTCCTTGTTGCTGGGCGGCGGCGGTGGTACTTCCACAAGTAGTGGGTCTGCCATTCAAGACGACGACCAAGACGATGCCACTAATCCTTCCAGCAAGAACAAGTCACAACGATCCTTTGATTCTACTTTAGTCTTCTGTGGACCATCCTTGGCTGGCAAAACTAGCATGTTTTACAAATTGCTCTATCCGCAACGGCCATTTTCCAGGATGGGGACGGTCCAGAGTTTATCCAGCAATGTGGGATACAAACAACACTCTGATGTCCAATGGAGGTATCTAGATGTACCAGGACATTGGGGTGCGGATAAGTTGGTATCCACAGTTTTGAAACAACAACAGAATATGGTGCAACGGATTGTCTTGGTGGTGGATTCGACACAACCCGTTTCCAAGGCGGCCGATTACCTATATGCCCTGCTGCAATACCAGCAACAACAACAACAACAAGCATCTAAATCATTAACGGTCTTGATTGCCTGTCACAAGGCCAAGGCACCCAAGGCCAAGAATTTCCGACGAATCAAGTTGAATTTAAGGAACGAATTGGAACGACTGGAAAAATTAAGCAGTCAGCCGACCAAGATTCAAGATTGGGAGGACGCCCTGAGTTCCTTTGAATTTTGTTCGTCTTCGGTGGATCCGCCACTTCTACAGGATATCGAGTCCTTTTGTGAGTCTGGGAAACTGTCCAAATAAGAGTTCTTTTTCGAAAGTGCTTTCTTCTTGGAACAATGAAGACGTATGATCTCGGATGAGACAGCCAGCATCAACTACTACTGTAGAAAAAAGCTCCCTCTCTCTCTCTCTCTCTCTCACACACACACACACAGACAAGTCATAGAGCACTTTACTACTTCCTCTCTTCTTCCTTTCTGAATTATGCATCATCAGCATTCCGTTTGCTCGTAGTAGTTACTTTCATCTTTCAAAACGCTACAGTAATAATTGTTCCAGTTACTTCCTTCCGGTACAGTACTCGTACTACTTTTGTCTCAAAGAGCTCAAATCGGAAGCAATCCATATAAAATCGTCTGTCAAGAGTGCGTTTTTTCAGCAACAAAAATCGGCATGTTCTTCTGAATATTTAGAGGTGTCATAAAAAACCTTGGGACGAATTCAAGCTTCCACTACAAACAGTATTTATTGAAAAATAATAAAAAACAACCGGTTAAAATTGCAACATTCTCCAAACTCCAACACCAAAGACTTGGGACTGGGAAACGATCTTTGAGAAGTTGACAGGACAAGACAATCTGCTTGCCGACTTGATATCCATCGAGAATCAATCGAGAAGTGGGAAAAAAAGCTACATACAAAAAGATCGATTATAATATCTGATTGAACCCAAAAAAGTCATTTTCGAGAGGGGGCTGGTCGTGAAACGAAAAAAAATGGCGGAATCATGGAATCTGCGGCATCGGCAGCTCGAAGAGGAAGAAGATACATCTGCGTTCAGGCCCCTACAAGATGAAGATGACATGTGGATCCTGATATGTTCCATTGGGGTAGGGCTGTCCCTTCTATTTCTCATCTTTCGAGTATGTCGGGATTGTTTGTTGGTGAAAGGGGGACATACCATCAAACGATCTACAGTCAGTGCCCGGATCGAAGAACAAGAGAAACAAAGAGACGCCAAAATGGCAAAGAAGCGTCGGAAAGCGGAAATGGCACAAGCCAGGAAGATGCAAAAGAAAGAAAAGAAGATTCGGAAAAAGGAAATGAAAGGAGGCAACAACAGAGGTATGGGCAACGGAAAGCGGCCACCTCCACCCAAGCGGTCACCTCCGCCCGATCGGAACGACGATAGTGCAAAAAGTGGAAATCGTAAAAGAATCCCATCCAAATCTTCCGAAGACTTTTCCGCAGCCTCCCCAAGGCCTAGGCCACCGACACGACGAGGCAGCAATCAATCTGAGGATTCGACCGAGGTCATCTCGAGTGGTCCACCTCGTCGGCAAGCCAGTCGATCGAGATCGGCGGAACCCAACAAAATGAGAAGGGGCTCTCGAGGACCCCGGAATGAATCTTCCGGCGATTCCGGTGACTTTCAATTACCTCGTCGCCAAGCCAGTCGATCGAGGTCCGCAGAACCCAACAAAATGAGAAACGGCGCTGCCAATAGTAATAACTCATCGACCGACATCCCGACGCCATCATCAATGCGAGGAAAACGGCCCGATGGTGGCCCAGAAGGCCGACCAGTCAATAGACCTGGACCTCGTGCGGTTGAATATGACGATAGTGATGATTCGGATTCCTCCTCGGATTATGTGACTGGACCACCTCGTTCGGCAGTCAATGTTATTGATGATGCTGACGATTCGGATTCTTCATTGGAGTATGTAACAGGACCACCTCGTTCGCAAGCAAACAACGTCAAGTCTTCGGTGCCATATGCACGACCTGAGCCACCTGCAGCAGCCGCCAAACCAACCAGAAGACCCAGCGGGAGCAGTTCTTCGGAAGAGTCCTTGGAGCCCTCTTCCTCGGAAGAATCCTATGAGGAGCTGCCACCGCGTCCTGCTGTGAAAAAGAAGGTTCCAGCCAAACCACTTTCCAATCGGAGTCCGGTTCGTAATGGACAGGGACATGGCTTGATCAACAATGGTGAGCGAAATGTTGGAACCAAAGATCCAAAAAAGGTTGCCGTGAAGGGATTCCTTGGAGGCGGGAGCTAGTCGCTAGGAATACAGTAGTAGCACGATGCTACTACAGTAGAAGAGTACGACAAAGTACTATATCATACAAGAAAAAAATAGTTTTGGGGAAATGCAACGTCAACGTAATGATGTTGCAGGGACATGAAAAACACTAAACATATGCATACTGCATACTGTAGCATTTGGAAGTATCCTCTCTTATGCTCTTCTCAGGGCTACTATTTGTAACAACGATGTCAAATGTATCTGCGCTACCCTGATGCACCTTCATGGTGGTTATATATATGTGTGTCGTTATAAGAGTAAGGTCGTTAAATGTGGAAGAAATAAACATTTATTGATGTCCTTCCGCACGCGAGACTGGCTTTGACAGACATTTTCAATTTTCGAACACCTTTTATTTTGGATTTGGTAATATTCAATATCGATATATTCGTATTGATATATTAGAGATTGTACTACTCGTATCCTCTTCATTGCCAACCCAATCCAATCCATAATATATTGCAAAACTTCAAGAAGGTAGAAATAGGACGAAAATGGAGGGCCAGGATGTTTCAGCGTCTCGAGAACTGCAAGCAGTGGAACCCGTATTGAGTTCGCCAGGGAATTGTCAAGTTACAACCAAGGTGCAATCACCTGCAGCCTTTCAGACGACGATTGCCACTGGTACCATGTTTTCTGTCACGGCCAAGCAGAATATCGAGATTCTATCTTTTGAATTTTCTCATTTCCCATTTACATCCGACTTGGAAGTGGAAATTTACGTCATAGACGGCAAAGACTATGTTACCAATCGAAATACACCTTCGGCTTGGACCAAATTAAGTCAGACAACCAGCGTCGATTCACCAGATGTAGGCGACGAGGATGTCAACATTGCTCCGCGGGCGGATATGACCCAAGCAGTGGCAATGAATGCTGCGGAATCCAAATCCTTCTATTTTTCTTTGAGGTCGCAACATTTGAAATTGGAGCCATCGTCCACCGGTAAACCCTTGACGACTGGTCAAGTATACTTTGACGACAACTTTCTATCAACAGACGTTGGGATTGGTGTTCGCTTGGGTGGGTTTCCGAATACACCAGACGACGTAGACCGTGGATTCCAAGGAAGAATACACTACCGAGTCATTCAGTCTTGTTCCGAACTCTTGGGACAGACACAAGCGGTGGTCAAGGTGGTGGTTCCAAGTTCGGCAGCGCCAGCGGCACAATCGGCCAGCTCAGTCTTTTTGCCTGCATTTACAGATCACCTCAACAATCGGGTGGATTGGAAACGATGGGTAGAAACGGAAGGGTTGAGATTAAATGGTCTAACAGCCTCAGTTGTGGAAACCAAAAGTACGTTGGCTGTATTGTTGTGATGATTACTCCTTTGAATCAATCTGTGCTCACATGTAGGTTCATTGATTTTTCTACTGTAATGAACCACAGCTGACTGTTCCGAGCATGGGGTGACAGGTGGCTGTTCGGTATACGACAACACGCTTACCATGGTGCATTATGCTAGTTTGGCGGGAAAAGAAGTCGAGTTGGAAGTCATTCGGAGCATTGTCGATTCGAACAATACAGTGACATTCAGTGGTAGTTCCACAATGACGTATATTGGTCCTCGAGTGCTATCGCGATACTATCGGTTGCAGCTAGTTGGAACGCCTGCCAACACGATTCTGAATCCCATTCAACGTGACTACATTGCGCGAGTGACTTTGGATTTTCTAAGCTCCTTTTCGGAACAGGTTCCCAATACAGTGGAAGTGATTAGCCAAGATTTTTCTCGTAGAATGGTAGAATTACGAGGAGGTCGACGATTGCAAGTGGGCGTAGTTACAGCAGAATCATATATCTATGGTCTTGGAGATGATTTGCAAGCATTTTATGAACCAATTGAAGCTGCCTTCAAGGACAACGAAGAGGCGTATCGGACTCAGCTGCAGCGTGAGCAATACCGACCAAGCTCGATCAATGATGGTGAGAATTTTGGGGCCACTTTCAAGGATTTGCTCCGCATTTCTGTCAAGACAAACGAAACTGTAACCGAAACAACCGCTGCAGGCGATGGGGATGATAGCAACACCACTGCAGTCATCATATGGTCGGTTTTGATCGCTCTCTCTATTCTCTTCCTTATCTATCGACTTGTCAAAGATTGCCTCATGGAGAAAGACGGATATAGAATCAAGAAAGAAAAGGTTAGTGAGCGCAAAACGCGGGAAGAGGCCGAAGGAGGCGGGCAAAAGAAGCCTCCAAACTATCTCTATGGTGCTAGAGATGCGGACACGAATGGGAAAAAGCCGAATTCTAACAGGAAAGGTGGCCCAGGAAAAGGGAA